ATTCATGAAAATCAGTATTTTGCCCTTATAAGATATTTTAAAATAAAATAAAATATAAAATCCAGGATTTTAACAGAAAAATAGCATATTTTTGAATACGGTATCCCTTTGCGTATAGAAGATAGGTCGACGGGACAAATTTTTTTTTTTTTTAATTTTATAGTACATGACATAAGCTTTAATTTTATATTTGTTGAAAAGACGCAGTATTTTCGGAACATTTTCAAAAGTTAAGTTGAAAAAATTAGTTTTTGTAAAAAAGTTGCTATTTTAAATCCCCCCCGTGAGCAGAATAAGTATTAATTTTCAAAAAAAATGACATCAAATGAAAGGAAATTACTTAAGGTTTCAATATAAAAAAATATTATTTTGATTTGTTAATATTTGAAAAAGTTATGGCAGTTTTAAGCACAAAAGACATCCCGATAGAAGGTGATTTTTATTACATTTGTTGTTGAATTTCGACAGCCATTTGCACATAGAAGATAAGGTGTCGGGACAAATTTTTTTTTCATTTTATAGTACATAAAATAGGCTTTAATTTGATATATATTTAAAGGACGCAGTTTTTCCTGAACATTTTCAAAAATTAAGTTGAAAAAGTTAGTTTTTGTAAAAATGTTGCTATTTTAAATCCCTCCTAGTGAGCAGGTTAAGTGTTAAATTTTCAAAGAACTGATATCAAATGAAAGGGAAATATCTATGGTTTAAATATAAAAAAAAATTATGTTGATTATACTGATTTTTGAAATAGTTATGGAAGTTTTAAGAAGAAAAAGTGAAAAAAATTAAAAATTTACCGATTTTTAAATTTGTAATTTTTTTGGAGGTTTCCCCCATTTACGGGGAACGAGGGAATTTTTTTCAATTTTGAAGCGTAATGTCTTCAACTAGATACGATTTGTGAACTTTTGACGTATTGTTGAAAGAAATCGGTCCAGTGAGAGCTAAGAAAAAGTGGCAACAGACATAAAAAAAAAAAAAACACATCATAGTAAAACCAATACCTTCTCAGCTTCGCATCGAAGCTAAAAATAGGTGAATTAATCCAAAAACAAAATAAATTCCTATATCTTTCATTATCCTGATTAGCATTGCTTTGATTTATAAGTATAAAATATGAATAAATATTTATTATAGCAATTAAATTGTATGATTGATATTCAATAATTTATTGTTGTATATTTCGTTATCTCTAATGTAAAAACCTACAAAAAAGTATAAGCAAGGCTGTGCTAGTTAATAATTTTGTATAACTAGTTAAAACTAAGATAAATTAAAAAAGTGAGTAACTATTTCCATGATACCCTACACATGACTTTATTGACTACGTATGTACATAATCCTACTTTATCAAGTACATTTGTAATATTGACGCATATTACTTTTAAATAATTCTTAAAATATTTGAATGTAAATATAAAAAAAGTACCGCAAAAATTATATTGTATACCATACTGTTATCGTAATAATACTTTGTAATATAAATACATATATTTTCTTGTAATAGTTATCTAAGTCATGATTACTGTGTAATAAATATTTAAAAGACGTTAATAAAACAGTCTAAAAACACAATACAGCAGATTACTATAAGAGATGGAACTATCAACTGCATAAAGTAAAAAGGCTAAGGCTCCTTATTTTAGTCTAACAGCGCAGTAGTTATTAGATAGAGAAGAATAGCGTAGAACGGTATGGAACGTGATAGTGTTATTAGCTAGTTAGTTTACTATTTAGCACATCACAATGAATACGAAACAATCTGAAAACCGTATAACTAATGACATTTGTGATATTTATTTCGTTGTTCAAATGATTTAATCCTGACTGCAATTTACCTTAAAAGCTTAGATAAAGACAACGAAAAGGTGAGTCAATTTTAATTAACTCCAGCCATAGATTTTAATTACTAGAAAAGTAATGATCGTTTTTAAATAATAAGGTTTTATGAGTAATTGAAATCATTAATATAAATATACACGTAGATAATATAATCGTATTGTAAGAATACACAATATACACATATTTTAAAAGTCCTAGGAGTGGGACGCTCGTGCTGCTTCCGAAGCTACTCTAGGCAAATAAATCCTTAGAGCGAGACGACCGTGCTATTGCCCGAGCCACTCGAGGAAGAAGTCCTTAGAGCAAGGCTGTGTTAACGCACAGGCTACTTGGGGTTTCTTAACACACATAAAATTATATTCTTACTATTCAACATACCAATCGAATAATTTGTCCACTTTAGATTTAATCTGACAGTGATTAAAATCACTATCATAAAAAACGCGTCCATGCAAATCTCTAGAGTGTCTAATTTTAAATAATTGGGGGATTATTCTAAAAGCAACATGATCTCTTATTTCCTTATTTATATCCTGATTACAAGTTTTATGATAAATAAGTGTAATATATGAATAAATATTTATTATAGCAATTAAATATGAAATTGATATTTAATAATTTAGTATTGTAATTTTTACGGAAAAATTATAAAGTAGTTATTACATTTATGGCAAACTTATATAAAAGTTAAAGATCTTGATGCAATACTTAAAATAAAAAACCGTGAAAACAAAATTAAGTCCGCAATTTTTTTTTTCATGATAAAATATATTACATTAGCTTTAATTTAAAATATATATAATAGTGTCAGTATTTCCGAAACACTTTCAAAAGATAAGTTGAAAAAGTTAATTTTTTGTGAAAAATTTGTCATTTTGAATCCCAGATCAAAAAAAAAATTAACCAAATTATAGGTTAATACTTAATTTATCTATTTAAAAAATTTGTATTAATCCATACATTTTTCAAAAGTTAAATTTTTAATTTGATGTCGTAAATTATTTTTAAACCTTCGTATCACGACCCTGATAAAATTTCAATATTATAATAATAACAAACCTTTGGACATCCAATAATGTTTATTTTATATTTTGAATTACTAACATAGTTTAAACCACACTTCAAGCTATATTTTTAAATAAAATTTTATACTCAATCCAATTACACTGAACATACAAAAGACTGTTTAAAGATAGCCCATTTGTGAACAACAATTGACTTATTTCACCACAAGAACAGATGAAAAAGAAGAAACAAAATTTAATGATTCTCTGATCTTTATTAATTAACAACTTCATTGTAACATTTCATAAGCCATTGGTAAATCAAACATGCCTTTACTGTTTCAGCTAAAATATAGGTATAAATAATTGAAAAAATGAAGTAGAAAACTATAACAAGAAAAATTTGTGATCTTTTGACGTATCATTAAAAAAAATGAGTTCAGTGAGAGCTAAGAAAAAGTGGCCAAAGATACAAAAAAACACATCATAATAAAATTAATACTTTCTCAGCTTTGCATCGAAGCTAAAAATAACTAATAAAATGGCTAGTCAATAATATCTTTTGAATCAGCTCTCAGTGTAAAATGAGTAAATGAGGCATAGCTATATGACCTCGTATATAAGTCGACTTAATGTTTTAATTAGAAGTGATTTGACGTTTATGTTTCAATCATCCTTTAAAATTAAATAAACACTTCTTTTAAAAAATTTAAGTATCCCGTTAACTTCATTATTATTAGAAAATATGTTGATTTATAGCTTCTTACTTTATAGTAATTATATCTTGACTTTTTTAACCAATAATGTGATAATTGCAAAATTAATTTTATTCGATTAGATATATTTTTATTATTAGAAATTTATAATAAACATAGAAGAACTAAAAACTAAATGTAAGAAGCATATTTATTACGCTTGTACATAAATTAAAAACATTCAAGTATCAATGTGTTCAATTTTTCTCGTTCAAAAATCCTAACTCGATTTAAAAAGAAAAATGTAGACAAAAAAAAATTAAATACCTCAATCTCGTGGAATTTTTTATAAATTTGTGAAAGCTAAAATTTTATAATATTTATTTTAATTAAAAAGCTATCACGGACATAATAAAAATGGTCATACTTAATATAGAAGATAAACTTTAGTAAATATAGTAGCCACAAATCACTCTTTTTCCCTTTATTATGATGTTGCCTTCCAAAAAAGACTTCGCCCTTAAACTCAGTCTGAAATTCGCAGCTAATAGCAATATTTATTAATAAAACAGTAATTATTTATCAGTACTATTAAAATTATATATACCGTATAACCTATTATTTCAGCCAACCATCCAAATATTAAAAATTCTGTATACTTTTGAAATCTCAAACAATTTATTAGTTATACAACTATTATACGATCGCAGAATACATATCTGCGTAATATGGAATCTCAGCGTACTTTTAAAGTGAATACATATTCATGCTATATAAAATAAATATAAAATCCTTTGGGATTTAACACATCCCAACCTCGGTTTATTTAATTACAACATGTAATAATTCATGTAACAGTTGCCCAAGCTATATCTACCTACACTCACCAAACCCCATTGAAATTGTTTTTTAATTAAAAATGGTAAAATAAAATAGCTACCCTCGTTTATTCAGTTTTATTGGAAGTAGTTTTATATTAGTATGTCTATAATTATGGCAGTAATACGATTATTATTCTAAATCGGAGACTATCAATTTAAATATTTTGTTTACAAAATATAATGCTTTAAATTATAATGCTTACATTTAATGTCATGTATTTATAATTATTATATATTTCACACTTACCTTACAATACCTAAAACAAATACAAAACAATTTTATCACATTAATATAATATTCTGAAGATATTCTTTACTTTTCTATATAATACTAAAATCATCCATTTTAAATATCTCCTCTGGGTTATTTTTAAATTAACTTTTAATTTTTTTATGTCTTATTCGTTACGAATTAAACTCGAAATAATAAAAATGATTAAATAATAAAGTTTGTCACTCATTTGACATATTTTATATAACATATTTTGCAAAAGGTAAGTAATATAACCTTAATGAATTTTTTTTTCACTTTATATTTCCATAAAGTTTTATAACTAAAGAATATGAAATAATAATTATATTAAGTTATAAAAAGGATATGGATTTGTTATCATTGCTAAGCACCAATTTCTAGGCCTAGAGTTCTGATCCAAGTACTTCATAGATATTGGTATGAAACCCGGATAAGGAAGTTGTTCTTGTTGATTACGTTCAGCTTCCAAATATTCATCGTCATCTCTGTCATCTTCTGAGTCTTCTTCCTCTTCGTATTTTCCCATGTCTAAATTTCCAGGGTATCCAGTTACCGCAACTATATCTGATTCAGAACTACTTCTTGCCAACATACCATGATTACAATTAGAACGCCGATATCCACATTCTTCTAATCCACTAATTGCTGAATGTCTCATTGCAGAGCAATTCTTACGTGAGCCTAAAGTAGAAAATTATATTTTTACTCAATAATGTACAAAATAATAAATAAATGACAAGTCAACAAATTAAATGATACAAGATGGTAGTTCTCATATGCAAAAATTAAGAAAATGGAAAGTATAGGGTCAATAAAAATTCACATAATTTATCATTTTTTTAATATGTTATATTAATAAGAGACACTTAGTAATCCTCAATAAAGGAAATAATACTCATTAGGATTATCCTATTATATGATTTTGATCATCCTGAAATTATACTTCATTCGAATTTTAAATATGAATTACTAAATTATTTAAATTAACTTTTTTTTAACAAGCTTTAAAAAATTAATGGATTCATATTGTACTACTTTAGTTTTAAACATGCATGAAATAAAAGTAAATAATCCAAAGTTTTATTTGAATAGTTACAGTAAAATAATATTAATAATTATAATTGTCCGTTATTTATATGAAATGAATGTTTTTTTTTTAGTTTAAGAAATGATGTACAGGAAACTTTTCTTATTAGTCTAAAAGTAATATCTTCAAAATTTAAGCTTCATAAACATGACTAACAGGGTACGCTATAAGTTAAAAGTTCAGAGGAAATGTTAAATTTTTTAAATATTTTTGTGCTAATTTTTATTTTTTTTAAAAGTCATTAAAGACTTTTTATAGAATACGTAATTTTTTTAATAAAAGTGTATTTATACATTTTTTGTACAGTCAATAATTTTTTCTAATTAAAATAATGGATAATAGTAACATTGTCCGATTTTATGTTTTTGGCAATTAAAATGACAAAATAATATCCAAAATATACAAATGTTTATATTTTATCTCAATTTTGATCTTATATCGTACCTGTTAATCATGTTATATAAAGCTCTAATTTTGTATATATTATTTTTAGACCCATAGAAAAATATTTCCGGATGGCATTTCTCAAATTTTAAGACTTCAAAAATAATGGGCACCCAACTGAACTCGATTGGTGTTACATTTACTTTATATTCGTACATTCTAGAATATATATTTGTAAAGTTTGAAGCAATCGATCAAGAACTCTAATTAGAGTTCTTATTAATTATCAAAGATATATTAATATGAAGAATAATAAGACCTATAAAAGTAAAAAAAAAAAATCTCATTATAGTTGGATTAAAGATTGGCTTAAAGTAATCTTATTAAACTCTCCCTTTTGATAAATTCAAACTTAATAACAGTATAAACAAAAGTCCAAACATGTTCATGAAAAAATAAATGCTGAAATGAACTAAGAATAATAAGAGCTGTAATAAAACTCACATATATAATACATTTCAGTAAAATTTTGGTTATAATAAATTTATTTTGGTAGATATTGCTTCAAAATAAATGCGAAAATCATATATCATAATAAAAAAACATAATCTTAATCAAAAGTTCTCCATTTAAAGGTAAGGATTCATAGATACACATTTATCTAAAGAATGGTCATCAATTATTGAAAAACATTATTTAAAACCTTTAGTTAATAATATTTATGTTACATTTATCATGAGCAATTAAAAACTAAATAAATAATTTATATAAAAGTATACATAATAACCAATTAACATATATTTATGTTAATTTGTCTATTATCCCAGTCCGAATTCGGAAATACACGTTTTGACTAAACTTCAAAGTTTATAAATGATTCTAAAAATGAGCTTATATGAACTTATCAGGATTATATACATATATGAAAGGTATACCAAAAAACAACGCAATTCACTTTTTTCAAAATAAAAATTTTGTTACAATAGTTTCTTTATTTTAAGAATTTTACATATTTGGTTATTATCCTGTTTAGATGACATTTTTTTGCTCTATTTTTAAATGACTTAACTGTTTTTTCCTAAAAAAGTAATAATAAAATTATAAAAGGATAGTTTTTCTATTATTTATCAGTGTAATTCTTAAAAAATATTAGAAAGATAATTTAATTTTGTTCACTACCTACATATAAAATTTTCACATTACTCCTTGTTTTAAATTTTTAGTTTGTTAAAAAAACATTTTTTGGCGTTTTTAAATATAAAATACATTTTTTTCAATTAACAAAAAAGTAACTCGCATTGTTTTTTCTTGGTTCTCTTCATACATTTATAGAAAATTCTAATTTCTAAGATGCTTACAGAACATTTATTCAGAATTAGATACCGGGGTAGAAATGTACAGTAAAATAAATAAATAAAATAATTAATTGTAAAATAGAAATTTACTTAACCCTTTCTTCTAGTACCGAAAACATTTCAATTAATATAAAATTAAATAATCATGTTTTAACCTTTCGTTATTAGAATTTTATCTATATTAAATATTTAATGAACGTTTGATTACGATTTTAATAGGAAACACATGTTTCCATGCATGAGGTCGCCATTAAACTCCTGCGTAGACGTATGAGATTATTCTGATCGATTGGTGTCTGGATAATGATGCATAATTAATCATATTACCAATATCCAAGGATACCAAATATTAATAATACAATAAAAAATTAGTTAAACTAACCTTTTAACAATTCTTTAATTTTTGTCAGTTAATTGTAATTTAGAATAAAATATTCAATGAAATATTTCCCTAATGTAAAGTGATAAAATTTTATCACATCACATTAAAACATTACTTCTATATTTATATATTTATTTACGAGTATTATTAAATGTCCAATAAATACAATTGACAGTGGATGGTTTAAAGGAAACCATGTCAATTGTTTGCAATTATTTATTTATTTAGACAGGCTCACTTGTATGTGTTACGTTATGTAATCCATTCACAATTTTATTACACCAACTTTTGCAAATCAATAATTTGAAATAAAAAATTTAAAATGATAATTTAATCATAACTAATGAAAATAATAAAAAAAAACATAGAATAAAAAATAAAACAATAAATAAATTAACTGAAATAATAACGACGTTACGGAAAAAACCAACGTGTTTGCGCGGGAAACGCGAGTCATGAACTCGGCGACCGGCACACACAGACTGAACCGCGGTATTCTCGTCCATCGTTGTATATGTATAAAATGAGTGTATGACTGAGAGGTGTAGTCGTACATCCTGTTGCGCCGACCGCCCACACTCTACCACTTTGGTTGTGCATTTTCGGCAAACCAATGGATAACCATTACAGTCTGGTAATTTCCACAGTGTAGGATATTGGTTGTGTCTCGACCATAAACATGGATAGGACACATTGATTTATAAGTGAAGTATATATCAATGAAATGATTACAAGTTTGTGTCATATGCTTACCTAATAATAACAATTATAAAATCTTTAAGTTTATAATAAAAATTGATCACAAGTGGCTAATTGTTTATAACTAAAATATATTAATATATTAAAAATATTTAACTCAAAAAACCACTAAAAAAATTACTAAAAAAATTTTTAGTTCGTGATAAAATAGAAAAAATGTTATAATAACTCGATGAATCCGTTCTTCTCTTATTGCTTGTTAAACTTTACTGATTTTTGACCAATTTTCTATTGTAAGTTTGTTGTTTAGCATACAGTAATCGTCATTTCTTAATGATGTACACTAACATGTTTTAATTGACAATTTTTGTAGTCATATCTATCACTTACGATAGCAAGAATAATCACCGATAATAATTTAAAGTCCATCGAAACAGATTATTGTTAAACCATCCGGTATTATAAAAATAAAATTAATAATGAATTTTAACTTTAAATCCAAATATTTAAACAAATTTTAAATGCAAATGGTTAATCATATAAAAAAAAAAAAAGGAAACAACATTTTTTAAAATTTTTTTTTGTATCATCAAACTAAAAAAAGAAAAAAAAATCTCGTTAAAAATATTTAAAAAGTTTAGATTTTTTAACTCTGAAGGGACAAAAAAAAATTATTTAACTACATATTATTGTAAAAGTTTTTAAGTAAAACAATTTTTTCTTTACGAATATTAAGATTTTGATAGTTAATCCTAATTGAATATCTAGGGTTATCTTTGTATTCAAAATTCCCTTAACAATATAAAACATACGCGTTAATACATTTGTTTTTCGATAAATTATTATTTTTATGATATTATTTCGCAAATTGAAATAATTGAAATAATATTGAAAGAGTTGAAGAGTATTATTATAGTAAATCATAAAGATTCCATTTAGTATTTTGTAACCTAGTATAACATTTAATTATTTTTCTTTTGTGAAATTGTCATTGAAATCGTGATTTAATGACTTTGTTTTAGATAGAAAATCAATATTTTATTACTTGTATTTTTACTATATTTTAGCATAGTCTATGTATATTGGCAGGTCCAGTAAAATAAGTTAGAAGTCAATTTATTTTATATTTTATTATTGTATTAATTATAAGTAATAATTTATTTTAACAAAAAAGTTGTTTTTTAAGTCACTCTACCTACGCCCCTGGCTTTATATATTTCTTCCCTTAATAATATCTAGATAACGCTATTCCGACTTGTTACTTTTAATGTATACAATAAAATAAAATAAAAATGTTTATTATCATTTTAAAATACCTTCTAAGCTTCGCATCGAAGCTAAAATTCTATGTAATTATTTTATATTTAACGATAAATTAACGATCATGCCGCTCAATAAACATTATCGACCGCATTCATTTATGTAGTAAGATTGCCTAATCAAAGCGCCGCCCAATTCGTTTTTCTGATAACACCGTTGAAAAAAAGGATACTCGCATTATTTGCTTCACTTTCAATAATTCTTTTTTTATTGCTTGATTTTTAAGAATTTTTCTGTTTTTATATAAAATTTAGGGATGATTCAATGGGAGCAGTAGAGGTAGTTGCCCCGGCCCTCGTGATTCAAATTTATATTTAAGACTCTGCTTTTCTGAAATCGTAATATTACTGAAGACCCCATAAAAGCTTACACCGTCAATGATAAAAACTGTCATTAATACTTTACATTTCATTTCACATTTCTAAACTGGGTAATTTTATTTAATTATAAAAAAAACAACGTAATTAGCTAAGATTTAGAGAGAATTTAAGAGACATAAATTTGCTACAATAATCTACTTATATATATATATATATATATATATGTCATATAGTAGGTATAATTCGAAATAATGGCCCACCTAAGTAATAATTGTTCAAAAAAAAATTTGAAAATTAAAAATTCGTCTTAAGAAAAAAAAATTTATAAATAAATGTAAAGATTTTCCAATATAATTTGCATTACAAATCCACAATATTAATTACACTGTTATAATAAAACACCTCAATTTTCCTTTACATAATATGTAGAGGATAATTGAATAAATATTATATACAAATCGATATACTTCCTTGGTTAAAGATACGTCCAAAGATCAAAAATATCTAGTTGAAGTTATTATTGCCAATATCTTAACATTATTATAAATTAATCAAATAAAAAAATCGTCATTTCCAAGATAATTTATTTAGCTTCAGATAATTCAGTCAAACGAAATTAGAGATAAAGTCTAATTCGAATAATAATAGTTAACCAATTATCCAATTTTATATTCTTGAGTTTATAAAAGGGTTTAAGTTATATTTAGAAATAACCTACTTGACGGGCAAATTGATCTCAATTATGATAGTTGTACAGTATTTTTTTAACTGGGAATTTTTCGTTACCTTTTTTTTGTATTACAAATAAAACATTAAGAAGCCACAGAAATACAAAACATTAAAAAAACATAGGATTATTTTTGACTAGAATACTTTTCAGAGAATTTTTTATATTTTCATTATCATACAACTATCAAATAAGTAAAAGATGATATCTTTTTCATTGTAATTTTTAATAAATATTCATTACTTCAAAAAAATGTTCAAGCTTGGTTAAATATTCTTATAGACATTTTTTAGTTGTATTTTTTTTTTAAGAATATATCTTCTCATAATAATCTACAAAAGAATATTCTCGAGAAATATTCGTGTTATCGAGAATATTCCTTGTTTAACATCACTTAACATAAAGCATTTGTAATTATGATTTTATCATACTTGGTTATTTATGAAATATGATAGGTTTTGAAAAAAATGAATTAATTCTAAGTGTTGCTGAACATCTATATAATTATTATATAGATAACAAAAAATAAAAGCATAGATTATGATTTAAAAGAAAATATTGTTTTTATCTAGATTTTCCCAACACTGACTACAACATTAAAAAATAATCCATGCTACAATTGTTCTACTATGAAATCGGACGTCAAAGTAAAAAAATTCACGATTTTTCCGGTATACCTAACAATATAAAACCTATCTTCTCTTCTTCTTCCTTGTCTTAATCCCAACTACTTGGGGTCGGCTACCCTTATCCTAAACTTCCACTTGACACAATCTCCCACATCATTTACGCTCACATCAGCTGTCCTCAAATCGCATTCAATAGTATCCCTCCAACTCTTTTTTGGTCTTCCTCTACCTCTTCTTCCTTCAACATTCATTTCTACAACTGTTCTTACAGCTTCTGATTCTTCTCTCCTCATAACATGACCAAAACATCTAAGTTTATTTTCTCTCATCTTATCCACGATTGATGCTACACCTATACTCCGTCTTATATGCTCGTTCCTTATTCTATCTTTTTAAGTCACTCTACTCATCCATCTAAGCATTCTCATCTCTGCTACATTCATTCTCTGCTCTACTTTTTTATCAACCGCCCAACATCATAGCTGGCCTTTTTACAGTCTAGTAGAATTTACCTTTCAGCCTCATTGAAATTTTTTATCGCATAAGACGCCAGACGCTTCTCTCCACTTCAACTACCCGCATTTAAATCTGTATCTTAGATCCTCATCAATACCACCACTCTTTTGCACAACTGACCTAAAATACTTAAAACTCTCCACCTCTCCAATCACGTTCTCGCCTATTGTCACTGACCTCCTCATTTCACCTACCTTGTGTTCTCATTTGTCAAACTCATACTCTATATACTCTGTCTTACTTCTACTTATTCTTAAACCCTTTTCTTCAAGAGCTGATCTCCACACCTCTAGCCTTTGGTTAAAGTATTTTATTATTCAATTAATTTGCATCTATTATCTCATTCATCTCAAATACACATAGTTCAGAAACTTATCTTTAACTCTCATCAATTGTTTTGAGTAATAATAGGTAAAGAAAAAAAGAAAACTTTCACTTTAAATTTCATTAATTAAATAAATTATTTATTTGATTTTAAAATAATATTTAATACATCATTTTTAAAAAAATAGAAGTATTTTAGATCAATGTACATATATTACATATATTTTATTATTTATCATCTAGTAATTTTGTACTAATGGTACAATCAATATAAATTATTAAAATTAACTATATTACTATTAACATCTAATAATACAATGCAATGGTTACTTTCAAAAATTAAAGAAAGAAAAACAAGGATTTGCTTATTATCTAATAATTGGTAATACAACAGTTAATAAGTAAACCTAAACAAACCATTTTATTAATTTAATTTTTTTATTTAACACACACAGTGTTTATAAAATGATAATAATATTATATTTACTTAGTATTAAATGGAATTATATAAGAAAAATGATCAACTCATATTTTAAATAGTAACATAATTAATACTTGTTATTATAATTAAATTTAATACTTACATTTATTATGACTTAGTATATAAATAAAATTATGTTTTTAAATTATACAATAAAATTTAATGTACATTATGTGTCCTTTGATCAAACATAATAGACTATTAATAGTAATGAAATTATTAACTAAGATAGATGCTACATATAAATTTTTTTTACAATAATACCTCTATAATAACTATGAATTAACATAATTCCTCGGTAACATTTAATCCTAACCACACAATAAATATTCATTGGAATAACATATAACTATGACTTTCAAGAATTTAACACAATTTTATTGAAATACTATACATTAAATTCTATAAATGAATTTTAAGAAAGGATTCCAAATGGAAAACATTTGCAATTTGTGTTTTTTTTTTTGTGGTAATAAAAATCATATACCTTAGACACGCACAATTTAATAACTAAAAAATCTTGTTTAAATCCTACTAAATAAATATCCAAATAAATATAAAACAATACATAATATTATGTTTGAACACAGGACAAAACAAATTGAGCAAATCATTTTTGGTGACATATTTCAATTACCAATGAATTTTACTTCTAATTAAATTAATATTTTTTTATCTAATTTATAGTACCAAAAACATATAAAAATAGTTATAGACTATATAAATCTAAATTATTAACATACTTAATAATGTTTTATCACAATTAATATTATTATTTTTAGTTATACATTATAGATATAGATATACAGATATAAATTAAGATATAATTATGTGATATATGTAATATAAATTAAAACATCTAGTAAACATATAAAAATCAAAAAGTGAGATCAATAAATACATCACTTTTTTCTTCCTAAATCTAATACTTTGTAAATATAAGAATATAAAGAAGTTTTTCTCAAGGAAAATGTTTTGTTTAAAAATCAAACTAATAAAAATTTTTAGTTACTTAGGAGTGAGTCCGTCCTTATATAAAAATATGCTATACAGCCATTCTTTATAAATACATTTATATATAATTTTTAATTTATGTCTTTCATTTAAAAAAAACTAGCTAACTCCTAGTAATTTCATTTAGGAATGAAAACGATTGTTTATACTTTGTGATCCATAACATTGGTTACCTAGTATAAAACATTGATCATGTTAAGAAGAATTTAATTGTTTTAAAATAATATATTGACAAAATTACTTTGATCATTAATATTGGCTGACTCGCCACTTCCAATCATTGGACAGCAATATTGTTTATCACCATAATGATTATTGTTATTGATTGTTGTAAGATTTTTATATGCCTTGGTGTCACCAAAAGGTGGACATAATTCAGTTGGCATGGGAACTTGTGATGGGTGTGGTGCTTGTGGAGGAGAATTGTTTACAAGAGACATAGGACTCATACTAAATATATCTGGATGCAGTTTCAAGTCAGGAAGTTTAACTAATGGTGTCTGAAACAAAAATAAAAGTATTTATTTTAAATACTTTGCATGAAATGATATTTTATATTTATATAATTTTTCTATGAAGAGATAAACGAGAAAATTTATTTTTAATTTCACAGAGGTATTGAAGTAAACATTTAAGAGTGAAAAAAATTATGTCAATTTTACAAAACCTATTATTATCATTTTTTAAAGTATAGCATTTTTATAATAAAATACATATTTTAAATAAATTTTAAATTAACAGTGACACCTTTAATTATGATTTCTTCAGCAACACATGATTTGATATTAAGAATAGGAGATAATTACTGATCAGATAATTAAATCGCTTCCGAGAGATGATCATTTAGCTGAATTATTCAATTAATCAATAACTCATAACCAAGAGATATAAATATCTCAATTGATCATAAAATTGTATGATCTTAAATAAAACAGGTATCAGCTCGGCCTAATCATTTATCATCATTTTCAGTAAGCAACTCAATGCAAAATTTAAGTTTTCAATAAAAAACGTACTGTTACTAATACATAGTTTTTTTCAGTTTATTTGTTTGAATGATATATATTTTTCTTTTATTATGATCCTTTTAGATCTAAGGCACAAATATAATTTACTGAAGATAGCTGTTAACAAAAACATTATAGCTATACATTTAAATACTTAAAAATCCTCTAACAATACAGTATCTTTATATTTAAATTTACAATTTACATGCCTTCAAATGTAAATAAATATTTGTAACATTTTAATAAGGAAAAAATACCTTATTTTCTTCGCCTAGCATATTATTTTCACTATAATTGATTTCTTGTTGGTTAATTCCATTTGTAATAGGTTTTCCATTGCAATGATTTTTTTCTAATGAATCAGGAGAGGAACATTGAATAACACTACTTGGCAAATTTATTCCAACACCTGGAATTCATAATGAAATTTAATTCACAAATATATAAATTAATTAAATTTATAAGAAAAATATATCAATTTTACAGCTAACAGACTGAATTAATCAATTTACATTTAATATATTTATATATACAAAAAAATTAATTAATCATACAAAGTTCTTACTTGTTCATCAACAATAACTATTTAATTTTGAAATTTCACACTTTATAGTATTTCAAAACTTTAATTTTACCTTAACTAAATAGTGCTTCTAAAAAATTATTTTAGTGCACTCTTTTGAGTGCTAAACCATCAATAAAAATAGAAGTATTTTACTTATGGTATTTGTTAGTCATGTATATTTTTTTTATTTGTAGTTTTTAAAATCATAGCTTGTGCTTTATAATAGTATCAAACTGTTTTTTCAAATGGAAACATATTTTGAAAATAACAAGTTGATAATAATTTTTTTATCATAATTCATTTTAGTTAAACTTTATTTATTAGTTATATAAACTAAATACTGCACTATATAGTACTTAAGTTTAATTTTTTTTAATTGAAATGCAACAATTATACTAAAAATGTTTTTATAATACAGTTACCTTACTTTTGAATTTAAAAAACAGATATTGGTAGATATGCATATCTGGGGCCCAGATGTGTATATATTTATAAAATATTTTTAGCTACATTGAAAGGTTTTATGTTGATCAACTTTTTTATAGGAATATATAATAGAGTAGAAATATTTTATGTTATAAGGAAAATAAACCTCTTAATCCTACTCTAAAATTATAATCTCAGAAACAACACATTAGTGCATTTTCAAGTCAATTAATACAAATTTGTACTGACTGATGGTCTGTTTCGGAATAACTTAACAAAATTTCTAAATCTAAATAATTCTAGACTCTACTTATAAAGCTACTAAAACAAATAAATTATTTAAAACTCCCTCATAATAATGTTTGACAAGTTAAAGAGGCAAATTTTAAATATTTTGGATATTTGTCTTTAAGCAGCTAAATGACACAAATAAATTATCATATAACCTATAATTCATCTAAATTTTTTTCACATAAAAGAATGAGATGCAATAATAATGTGATGTTTTTCTTATGTTAAATTAATATACTAGAGAAAAAATTCAGTTCAACTCACTTGCAAGGTCTCGATTTAATACAATATAACGTTTTGGAGGTCTTCCTTTAATCAAAACTGTGCTACTAATGCTTGTTAATAAAGCTATCACAGACTGGTATCCATACACTGCAGGCTGAATAGCTGTGCCAAACATACGTAAATAAGCAGCTTCAAGAGATGTTAATAATAAACGTCCATCAGTCATCATTAACAAACGGTAAATATCTTGAGCAAAAAGTTGTAGCGTAGTTAACTGAATATATTCTTCACCAAATTTTGTCTTAATAATCTAAAATATTTGTATACAAAAAATTAAAAAAATTCAATAAAATTAAAAAATAACTTACATTAACAGTATCAGTTAGCTTCTCTTTGATAGTTTCAATACAAATGGACTCACCAAACATTGTTTGAAATACAGATTGAAATTGTAAAACTGACATTCTATCATTTGATGAATGCTCCATTAATACCCTACGCACTTTAAGAGACAATAATTGAGCTTCTTTACGATCCACAGCAACTAACAATAACTCTCCATGATTATCCATTATCTAAATATATTACATTAATTTTAATAAAACTTCTAGAGACTAATACAATAACTAACTTTAACAGCATCATTAAGTTTTTGTAATAATTCCAGTAATGTATCACACTCATACATTGAAGGCTTTAGAGCATAACCATATTGCCATAAAAAGGCATTTTGTAATTGACTTATTGGTAATGGGTATGTAACTAATGCAGCTAATTGTTCACCAAGTACATTTTGTTTTACTTCAGTAGTTAATGATACACGACGTTCACCTTCCATATCATCTTCAATCTTAATTTTAAAATAATATAAATTTTTGTACAGAACATGAATTATAATAAACACAAGTAATGTTTGAACCGTTTGATTTTCAAACTAAACCAAACCAAGCTTAAGATGTTTGATTCAGTTCGAAAATCAAACTTAAAATTTAAAAAATCAAAATTTTTTTTTTATAAATTGATTATATTAATTATAAATTAATTTGAAAAATATCACACTGCATTTGTTGAGTAGCGATATAAAAAATATGTTTGCCTAAAATGATAAAAATTAATGTTTGTACAAGGTTAATTAAATATTTGTGTTGTTCTGTTTTGTTAAAATTTGACTCAAATAATTAAAGTTAGTTCTGTTTGGTTTGATTCCGAAGATCAGAGTTCATAACATCACTAATAAACACTTTTAACAAATTAAAAATTAAGATGGTAAACCAAAACCAAAACAAATCACACAATAAATAATAGTTAACACAAATAGTACCTTGACAATATGTGGTATTGCTTCAAATAATTCAATCAATTTTGTAAAACCAAAATCTGCTACTTTACATTGATGTCCAAAATGATGATGATAAGAAGGAATGAACTTATTAAACAATAAACTACATTGTGGAGCATGACTCAATAATTCAATTACCTAAATAAATAATTTTATTCGAATTAGACATGAAAATATCATTAGATATTCCATATTATCATAATATAACAAGGAATATTTATAACTAATTAATTAATTAACAATAAGTGTTAGTATTTAATATAAACAGATATTGCTTAAACATACTTCTTTAGCAAACGCTTTAGTTCGTTCAATTTCATCAGGTGTCTGTTCACGTTTAGGTATTGCCACTGACTTTTGTCCATCTAAATGCCCAATAACAACAGTATTTTCTGATACTTGTGATAACAAATCTTCTAATGAACAAAGTCCATAATCAACAGGGTCAAAGGTACGTCCTAGAGTTTTCTCAAAAAGAGAAGCAAACTCTACTACAGGAACTTGTTTACTAGCAACTGATTTGAGAACACGTAACAAATCTGATGTAAATCTACGCATTTGAGCTTTATGAGCTAAAGTCATAAATCGTTTATTTCCTTCCCCAAATACCTATTATACATCCAAAATGTTTAAGTTAGACTGCATTTTATTATTAGCTAATTCAATATATGAGATAAGTCAAAATAATAATAAAAGATAATTTCATTAATTTAAATTTATAACTAGTTTGTTAAAGAAGGGTAATTTTTAATCAATTTTTTAAAATAAATACTATATACTGTATAAATACAGCTTAGAAATTATAGATTTTATTTTTGTCTTATTATAAAAATTCTTAGCTTTCACTGAACCAATATTACTGATCTATACATCAAAAGAATCCAAATTATATCTAGTTGTAGACTTAAAATATCTAAAAAAAATTATAATCATTAAAAACAGCCATTTTCACAATTCAAAATTACTATACTTTTTTGGATTGAAACAAAATCTTTATCATCATATATATTGGGGACAATAATGTTTTTTTTAATGCTATTTTAGAAAATCTAACAAAAGCCTACATTTATATTTACCTCACTTTGTCCTAATAGTGAAACTATGTAAGTGTAAACAATTTTTTTAGTAATTCTATTAATCATAATAATTTAAAGGAAATGTGTTGATGGTGAAAAGTACATACATAATGATTGATTTATCTTAACCACAACATTTCTCCTTAAATAATAATAATTTAGAAAATTTTTATCTAAAACAAGTAAACATTTTCTTCTTTTTCCTCGCTTTTATCCCCACTACTTGGGATCAGCCACCTTAATCTTAAACTACCACTTGACACGATCTCCCACATCAGCCTATCTCATATCGTATTCAATAACATCCCTCTATCTTTTTTTTAATCTTCTTCAACCTCTTTTTCTCAACATTAATTTCTATAACTGTTCTTATAGTTTCAGATTCCTCTTTCCTCATAACATGACCAAACCATCTTAATCTATTTTCTCGCATCTTATCCACAGTTAATACTACACCTATAGTCCCTCTTATATATTTGTTCCTTATCCTATCTTCTCTAGTTACTCCGCTTATCCATCTAAGAATACTCATTCTTCGCTCTTTTCTCTTGTTAATCTCTGAACCATACATTATAGCTAATTTCATTATAGAACTTACCTTTCAGCTTCATTGGAATTCTCTTATTGCATAACACACCAGACGCTTCTTATCACATCACTCACCCACACTTAATCATGTGTCTTACACCCTTGTCAATCCTTTGTTCTTTTGCACAACTGATTCTAAATGATTAAAACTTTCCACCTCTCCTATCACGTCTTTGCTCATTGTTACTGATTTCCTAATTTCACCTACCCCATATTCTCCTTTGTCAAACTCGTACTATATATACTTTGTCTTATTCCTACTTATTGTAAATCCCTTTCCTTCGAGAGCTGATATCCACACCTTTAGCTTTTGATTAATTTCTTTCCTATTTCCTCCTATTAACACTATATTGTCAGCGAACAACATGAACCACGGTACCTCTCCTTACTTTTCTCTATAAATTTCATTCATCACTATACAAAAAAAAGTAAGGGCATAAAGTAACACTCCTAATCTTACCCTAAAACTTTTTGTTACTCCTCCCACACATTTTACTCTGGTACAAGTGCCATCATACATATCTTCTATTATATTGATGTACCTTTTTGGGACTCTTTTTCTCATTAATGCTACATTAAAACCACTTTCGGTACTCCATCATATATTTTATTCAAATCTATAATTATCATACATAACTTTTTCTTCTTTCCCCTATACTTTTCTATTAGTTATCCCACATAAAACAATGGCTCCATTGTTAATTTACCAGACAAAAAACCCTAAAATATATACTGGAAGCTAGGTTTAATGTTATTCTTATTAAGAGTCATTAAAAATGACTCTGTCATGCTCCTCTTCATAATCAAGTATAAAAGTCTTTATAACTTTTAAAATCTAGGTTTACAATTCATTATTATCTAGTCTTTTTATTAGTTGAATCAATTTCTAACGTTTAAATTATAAAAATATATCTGTTGTCATTAAAAAAAATTAATATGGTAATCTTATAAAGGATAAGGAAAAAAAAATTTATTTAGTTGAGAAATTAATTCTCGTATATAAAGCCAAATTATTTTTTTACAATACTTTAAAAAATAAATGGTATTTATTTAAAGTCAACAAAATGCAAATTACCTAATTATTTTATCATCAATAACTAAAATATTCCTGTGGGGTCAAAAATTACTCCCTTAGTTCTCAGTATCAAACAATTTTGAATAATTAAACATTTAAAAATGTATTTTTTAGAACTACAATATTGTATAAAAATAATATTAATATCCCTAAAATTAAAAAAATATCAATTTTCAGAATTGTATAATTTCTCATCACTAATAATTACACTTAAAATTAAAAAACTAAAATGATATATGGGATAAATTATATTTAGCTTTAAATGAATAACAATAAAAAAATGGTTCCATGTTGTAATAACTTACTTGTACAATATTTGGTAAAGCCTCCAACAGATCAATAAGTTTGGTGAAACCATAGTCAGCAACACGACATTGGCGACCAAAATGGTGATGATAAGCAGGTATAAATCGGTTAAATGACATTGTACAGTGAGTACAAGTTTTCAATAAATCAACTAATTCACGACTAAGCAAAGCTAAATTATTTGCTAATGGTGGACTAATACTTTTTAACCCACCAACACTGACTAAAAAAAAATTAATATTTAACATTTGATTAATATCAATTTATAATACATAAAACAATATTGGTGATGGGAAATATTGAATACTTACTATTCGATAGTCACTCAAAAACTATTAGAATAGTAAAAATATTTGATAGTTACACAATATATTCAAATACTTTTTAAAATATTTGATAGTTTATGTTAAAAATAAAATATTTGGTGGTATTAACATAATTTGAATAGGTAATTGGTAGTTTAAAATATTTGAAAATGCCCATCACTAATTTTATTTATTATTAATTGTATCCTATTTATAATCGTAGTACCCTGAATAAACAGTTTTAAACAATCCTAATTAGATTGTTAGTGTAATTAAAACAATAAAACTATAAATCTGACTATAATTTTACATAAGACTAATATTTTACAAAATTTAACTTTACATATTTTTTTACGAAACATTTTGGTGTAAAATGTTCGAAAATTAAAAATGATTTATATTCAAAAAATTAATTTTAGCAAATTATTTTTTTATTTAAATTTTTTGAGCAAGTAAAACTAAGTAAAAAAAATTTTTGTAAATACCATTTTAGAAGAAAATATTAAAATCTATAATTTATATTCTATACATTGTTACGCTAAGTATGTTGGTTTTAAAAATGATAATCAAAAACTGAAAAATTACCTTTTTGAACAAATTTTCAACCCCGTTTCAGACCCGAAGGGGGTAAGTTATCAAAGCCAAATTTTACACAAATAACTTTCATATAATAAAAAACAAAATATAATAAAATAAGAGCCATCCTACTTGCGACTTATCCCAGTTTATTTTTTAATATGCTATAACTTTTGAAATACTAGTCCAAAAGTTGTTAGCGATTAGTCATTTTATTAGTAATATTATTATCTAACCTATAAGTTAGTTAATTATGTGAATTGCCCTTTGAAAAAATAAAGTTGATACACTTACAAGGTATAGGGAATGAACCTAAAACGAATTAAAAATGAATTGACCCATATTTATCAGTTTTTACCAACGACTCACAAACTAAAAATAAATAAAATGGTACTTTTTACTATTATTAATTATATAATAATTTATTTTAAGTATTCGTTAATTATCTTTTTATTATAATTAAGTGTACTTGATAAAAATTTTAGATAGAACTATTCGAATAGTTTTAAAAACTATTTGATAGTTTATGCTAAAAACACACTATTCGGTTGTATAAAAACAATACGAATAGTTATTCGATAGTTTAAAATATTTGAAAATGTCTATCACTAATAAATATATAAAATCTCCATTATTTTTAAAATATGAAATTCAAACTAACTTATGTAAATCATATTTGTCAAGTAAAAAGATAAAGTCGCGGCACAAAGGGGATGTGGCATAGTTGGGTCAAGTATAATGATATCTGACAGTGATTAAAATCAGTATTATAAGAAACAATTTGATGTAAATTTGTAGAAAGTGTTTAATTTTAAGAAATTGGCGGATTATTCTAAAAGCAAAATGAACTCCTATTTCTATATTTTTATCCTGATTACAAGTTTTATGGTATATAAATGTAATAAATAAATAAATATATAATAATTTTAAATTCCTTCATTAAATATTTAATAAATTTGTTCAACTTTAACAGCCATTTTCACATAGAAAATAAATTGTTGAAACAATTTTTTTTTTTTAACTTATAGTATCTAACACAAGCTTTAATTTAATGTGTTTAAAAGATGCAGCAATTTCGAAAATTTTTCAAAATTTAAGTTGAAATAGTTCTACTTTTTACTAGAATATTTTAAGATTTGAACACCCTCTGTTTAAAGGGAAATGGTCTGAATAAAAAAAAAATATATGACGAATGAAAAGAGTTATAGCAATTTACAGTTCAAAATATGAAATTAAATTATTTTTAAAAAAATTATAGAACTTTTAATAAAAAGAGATTAAAAAATAATAAATGATAGACACAAAAAAGTAAATAAATAAATACATTATAGTAAAGTTAATTTTTGCTCAGTGTCGCATCATCAAAGCTAAAATGACTGAATTAAAAAAATTAAAAAAAAAAAGGTAAATATTATATTAGACAGACAAATATTATATTAGAAAACTGTTTGCCTCAAATCTTTCTATATTATTTTAGATATAATTATAATTATATTTATAGATACTAAAATTTTAGTAAAATGAATTTGTTTTTTGTTATTTCTGATATAATTCCTCTAACAAAATTACGAATTATAATTAGAATACAAAAAATTATGCTCAAGTAATGTTTAAGCATTTGCAAGGCGTTAATATAGTAAAATATAGTCATTATTACGCAAATTCAGGTTTTAGCAATTACATATTAGGGTGTCCCTTATTTTTGTAATTTTTGAAAAAACTTCCAAAATTTTTTCTTTTTTATATTATTGAAACATATAAATATTAACAATTTTTCACTTAAATAATATTTAATTTTAGCTTCGATGCGAAGCTGAGAAGGTATTGGTTTTATTATGATATATTTTTTTTGTGTCTATTACCACTTTTTCTCAGCTCTCACCGAACTGATTTCTTTCAATGATAAGTCAAAAGATCACAAATCGTATATAGTTAAAAACATTTCCCTCCAAAATTTCCCTTCTTCCCCGTAAATAGAGGAAATCTCTAAAAAAATTACAAATTTAAAAATCGCGAATTTTCCAAATTTTTTCATTTTTTTATACTTAAAACTGCCATAACTTTTTCAAAAATTAATAAATCAATATAATTTTTTTTGTAGATACATGATGTCTTCACCTATCATTTGGTATATTTTTTTTATAAATCTGACCCCTTACCTGCCCACAGGGGGGGATTTAAAATGACAACTTTTTTACAAAAAATTTACTTTTTCAACTTAACTTTTGAAAGTGTTCTGGAAATACTGACACTTTTATATATATCTTAAATTAAAGCTAATGTAATGTTCTTTATTATGCGAAAAAAAAATTTCGGACTTTATTTTATCTTCACGGTGAAAATGGCTACCAAATGCTATTTTTGTGTGAAAATTCTCGATTTTATTTTTTACATTTTTAACTGTATAATGCTATAACTTATTGAAAAGTGAATGGATCAGAACAATTTTTTCATGAGAAGTAGTATTTACATACATCTTTCAATCGACATACTTTTTTATTAAATCGGACCATTTCCCTATATACGGGGAGAGGGTTCAAATCTGAAAAATGCATATAGAAAGTAAAACTTTTTCAATTTAACATTTAAAATTGTTCCGGAAAATTCTGACCCTTTTATATATATCTTAAATTAATCAGTATGCTATTTTTGTGTTCAAATTCTCGATTTTATATTTTATACTTATAATCATAAAACTTGTAATCTGGATATAAATAAGGAAATAGGAGATCATATAGCTTTTGGAATAATCCATAAATTTTATAAAATTAAACACTATCTACAGATTTGCATCGAAGCATATTTTATGATAGTGATTTTAATCACTGTCAGATATCATTATACTTGACCCAACTATGCCACATCCCCACTGTGCCGCGACCCCACTGTGCTGAGTTTTTATTTTTTTATTAATAATACTATTATGTTTAATACATTTTTTTAACTACTCAGAATACTTTTAATTATTTTTACTGCTATAAATAAAATTATCAAACGAATATTCAATAACTAATTCTACTATAATTGTAAAAAATAATGAAAATACCTTCTGATTTGGTATCAGATTCTTGAGTAGATGATCTGGTGGACATATTTCCAATATCAGAAGCTGACGATGTAGTAAGGTATTTAATACCAACACTACAACTTTGCAAAAGTTCTACACCATTAACTGCTGTAACAATATGCTCTAAGGGAACTCCATTATCATCCGTTTGAATTGGTTCATTAAATGCTGCCTCATAGCAATCACAAATACTAAAAATAGACAATTTATATAAAATCAAAATAAAAAGAAAACTAGTAAATAAATTTAGTAATTTTTCATGTATACACTTGATAAAGTGTATTTTAAAATTCTCGTTTAATGATGGTGACTGAACAAATAGCCATAATTAACACCAGATAATAATATAATATAATATGATAATAAACCATAAATATTACCGTTGACATATAGTATATAACATACAATGTATGAGAAGTTTTTGGTAATCTCAAAATATAATAAATTTTAATGTTAAGAAATTTAAAATTACACGTAAGTGTAGTCTATATAAATAAATATCATAATTAAAAAACAATTTTCACAACTATGAAGTATCTTACTACATTTTAATAATCTTATAACATTTGAAATAAAAATTGTTTGTTGTTTCCTTATTTTAAAAATTTTTAGAGCTTAGAATTACAATCATATTATAAAATTTATATTTTTTATTTTATTACCAGAAATTTTTAAAAAATGTGAGATAGCGAATTTATATAGTAGATTATAAAAAATAATTTGGTAGCAAAATCTCTTCTTAATGTTTTGTAGTTTAATATATAAAGCATTTTCAAATTTTTAAAAATTTGAATTTTTTTGTGTTTATTTTATGATATTAAATATGCTCATCAGAAAAAGATAAAAGTAATACAATCTTAACAAACTTGATATTAGTTGAAGATATTTTTTCTATGAAAATTATCCATGCTTAATGGAGGGATTATAATTGAAGTTAAAAATGTAGTTATTTTATCATTACAACAATGATTTAATTAATAATCATATAATTTTGTATATTATATGTATAATTATTTTGTATAAATAAAATGTTCCAACGGTTTAAGTCAATTTAAAAACAAATATTTAGTGGTTAGTAATAATAATTTATATTTATCTTAATATTAATAATAAAAAAAATATTGAAGAATCTATGACAAAAAAGTATTTACATAGTATAATTTTATTTAAAAATTTGTATTTTACAAATTTTAGAATAAAAATTATTCAGTAAATTACTTTTTAAGACCTTAATAAACCTCTAATTTAAAATTGATTGCAAGTTCTTGAAATAATTTTCATAATATTTTAGAAAGTTACACATAATTTTATAATAATAACATTATTTTTTGTTTGTCTGTTATTAAACACCAAATCATACATGTTCCACATTTCTGGAGGAAATTTAGGTGGTATAGCTGGTCTACAACCACGAGTCCACTTTCCCTCAATGTATGTAACTTTGATATAATTGGCAAATTCAATAACCTCTTTGTTAAAATCGTCAATTGACTTATCAAATGTTTTCAATTAAATCAATGTATATTTAAGAAAGGTAATCTCATCAATTTTAATAAGCTATTTTGTATACTTAGTTGACTGTAGTTTAAATATTGCTTTCTTAGTCCTCGATGAACAATTTGTCGCCATAATGATTGTACAAAATGAAACAAGCATTCTTCAATCTCATTAAAGGCAATTCTCAAAACATTAATATTAGTAGATTCAAAATTACTCACTGCATATTGTAGATTTTATGTTACATTTAAATACTATGAAGCGTTTTTAATTAGCAATAAATTATAATACTTGAATGTAAATGGTCATATTTTGTTTTTTAGACATATTACTTTGGTCAAAATAAAGTATGAAAATGTTGGGTTGGACCAACTGTCCTGAAACCAAAATCTCATAACATAACTAATGCTTACAATTAGAGTGTAAATATTGTGTTACTTCTATCTTTCTATGATAAACATAAATTAACATTTGATACCATGAAATAAATACAAAAAAATTTTAATTTTTACAAATATTAAATGCTCTAGAAATTGAATCACAAAATATTATAAATGAATTTTGCTACTAAATTATTTTTTATAATTTATTCTGTAAAATATCTACTTGGAATTTTTTTTTTATTTTTAATTCAATAAAAATAAAAAAAATATACAATTTTTATATCATTATTATTTTAGGCTCTAACAAGTTTTTAAAAAATAAAATAACGAAAAATTTATAAGATTTGTTAGAACATTATAAGATGGACACCTATAAATTTAGGTTCATGCAAAAATGATCCTCATTTAACTATTCTTTAAATTAACAATATATTTTTATATTATAAAGTAAAATCATAAAGATTATCATACTTACGTGGCAAGGATTAAATAGTTATTGTGTGATGAAATCAAAGAATGAAGACGAGTAGAAAACTCTGCTAAAGATACTTTTACATTAGGTAATGCAGGCATTTCTAGTTCAGCCCAACCCTTATCATCGGTAGGTTTTGTAATTCTAGCATGAGTTGGGCAATATGAAACTGCATCACTTTTATCCTACATAAATATACATTTATGTACTATATAAATTTTATTAAATATAAATACTCACTAATAAAGACATAGGCATAGAGGGTTGAAGAAGAGGTGAAGGAGTATTCCGATGTTCTGGATTTAAACTTATTATTCTATGATTTGGTTCTTCAGTGATTAAACACACATCTTTCATTTTATATAAGTCAGATACAGATACTGAAGTCATAAATCTGTTTTCAAACATTTCACGGAATTTAAATAAGGGTAAACGTTGCCCAGGAACTTCTGTTAATATTGACACTATTTGAGATCTACACAAGATCGATTTTCAGAATTATTTTACATTAATAAAGTATTAGATTAAATACTACCGAAGTAATGTTGGATTCTGTGGATAGCCCGAATGAGCGTAAGCAATCATTATTCTTTTAAAGCCAATTTTACGTCGATGAAGTTTAGAAATTGCATATTGAGCATCCTGTTGACTAGAAACCCTCACAGCAGCAGCAAAATTACCATCAGATTGGTAAAATACAGATACATGTAACACCTAATGTAGACAAGAAAGACAATTTTCATTCGTTATGTTTTAAAATCAGATATAAGTATCATACCATAACATGTTCACGAAACGTATTAAATAATATACTTTTCATTTCAGTAGAATCAATATTTTGATCTAAATTAGTAACATGCAAGTCAACAGGATGTGTTTGTTGAGTAATAATAACAGGTGGTTGAGTTGTTGGTAAGTTACTAAAAGATGGAGATATTGGATGAAAATATCGCTAAACAAATAAAAAATAATTATATACCATGGCTTAATTAAATAAATAATAAAATATAACAAAACTAACATCAGGATTTGTATTCTCTATAATAGCAGGAGGACTAACTCTTCTTGGTACATTAACTATAGGTGGTGGAGGAATTGAAGTATTGACACCAAACATCATATAAGGAGGGGGACCACTTGAGTTTATCAAATTTGGTCTAGTACAACCAATCTAAAATGGAAAAAAAATTTAAGAGGTTAGGACTATTTTTTTGTATATTTAATAAAATAATTCTTTTACATTAAATTGAACATTATAAGTACCTGAGTATCTATTTGTGAGCCACCATTAGGACCTCTTTTCAAAATTGTAATAGGACCACCATGGTTCATTGCAGCTGGATACCCATGTCGCATCCAGTTTTCATTCTGTTTCACTACAATTTATAAGGTTAGTGGAAGTCAAAAGTGTGAAGAAATGAGTATGTTTTAACTTTATTTAACAAAAATACAAATATTGTAGATCAAGTTATAGCTATATTTGTTAAACCTTCTTTTAAAAGTTATGCTATGTAATGACCTAACCCTCATAGAATTTTATTCATTCATATAAAATCATTAAAACAAAAAAAAACATTAGTTTAATAATTACTCTAGTGCTTAATGAAAAATGTTTTTTATTTTTAAATTAATAAAATTGTTTCTTATAATTTATTTGAGGATTTAAAAAAAAAAAACACTAGTTTATAAAAATATAATTTTTAATTAAAAAAAACCTACAATCAGGGATTAGTTTTTTATGTTTTCAATAAATTTTAATCAAATCTCTCAAGTAGTATTTTAATTACAGTATTCACTGACCTTTGAAGGGGTCCAACAAAAAACAAGTTTTTGAATTGATTCTGATAAATGTTTTGATTCCATAAAAATGGAATTATAAGTTTTAGGATTGCTTAACTTTTTTAAAGTGCATTGTATTAGCTTTAATTTTATGTAAATTTAAATAAATCATGTTTATTGGAATATTATCAAAAATTAAAAACAAATTAACTTTGATATAATTTTAAATGCTCCCCAATTCTTAAAGATTGGAATTTCAAAAAAATTATGTAATTGACAAGATAGATGTCTAATGTGTTATTAATACAAATTTCATAATAATTTGTTCAGTTTTCAAAAATTTATTTTAATATAAAGTAAAAACTAAAGTAACAACATTGACTATTTTATAACTCTATATATTTTTTAATTATATGTATAGTAATAATAGCTTCAACTAGTTACAATTTGTGATATTTTGAGCAAAATCAGTTCAGTAGAAGTAGATCAATTTGCATTACTGATAAAAAAAAAATAAACACAACAAATTAAAACCAATAGCTTCTCAACTATGTAGCAAAGCTAAAATGTATACATTAAGTACTAATCATTAATAATCAAATATAATTAAGAAAACATTTATTAAACTCATAAATTCAATACTTCACTTAACTACTTCAAAAGAAATACATATAGTAATAATGATTTTTTACCAAGTCATAAGATAAAAAAAACTTTTTGATAAAAATAATTTTTAAAGGTTTGCAATAAAAACATATATGATATATTAGAAACTCAATATTTACATGGAATTGGTAATGTTGTTTTCTGAGTTTGAGTAACAGACTGTTGTTGTTCTTGATTTTCTCTTGTACCTAATATTTGCCTTCCCTTATAATTAATATGTCCTCGTGTTCCATTCTAAAAACGATTGATAATTTAATCCTCATGTATACTTGTAAATTATTCTAATAAAGTTTTTTATTTAAACTTAAAAAAATGGGTATAAATAGTAAAACTATTTAAACAAACAAATAGACATTAATGATATTTTTTAAATTTTACAGGAGAGCCAACATAAAAACATTACACTTAATTTAATATAATATAAAATTTTCTATGGGTTTTATATTAAACTATTAGTTGTTTGTGTTTTTCAGACAAATTGTATTATAGATAAATTGTTTTTATACATCAGTTCTAATTGTATTGAGTTCAACACCATTTTTACTATAAAAATTTATATCTAACTAAATATTGTCATTTTTGGAAATAATACTTTCATCTTGTTACTCTACAATTACTACAATAATTAACTCTACCCAATTATAAAATCCAGAAATATTTAAAATAAAAATGACCAAAAAATTAAATTATCTATTGAAATGTTATAGCTGAACTATAATAAGTTTTGATATCAAATTATAGTAAACTAATTATAAATTAATTAAGCACAATAAAAAATAACAAAAAAAATTTCCGAGTTATTTTACAACTTATTTTAAAGAAAAATAAAATTTACTACTGACATTAACATAAGTTTATTAATATTACTTTGATAATAATATCAAAATCCTGTAATTTTTTTAATTTATTTAAAATATAAAAATATTGTCATTTTAAAGTTATTATCTTTTCATACCATATTAATTTGAGGTCCATTTAACCAAGTCTGTATACCAACGGAGTTTGATGTCAGCCATGGATTATGATGCCTCATAGAATTATCTAAACTAGTATTCATTTGAGACATTCCAAATCCTCCTTTAATTTGTTGTCCATACAATCTTAAAAAAAAATAATTCATTATGGTGAATATAAATACCAATGATATACTTAATTACCCATAGTTACGATTTTCAAAAGGAGCTGGGGAAGTCACAGGATTTATATTAAAACGTGAATGCATATTATTAGTAGATGAATATTGTATAGTAGTAGCTATATGCTGAATATTTTCTTCTCTTGTCTGTACTAATGGTTTATCTATATAATATTTTAATTAAAATAAAATTAGATTGAAAGCAAAAATATTTATTATATTCTATGATTTACTTATAAAAAATGTAGATTGAGATTCTTCTTGTACAGCAAATGGTAAACTAACAACTATTTGACTGTTAAAAACTCGTTCTTTGTTCATTCGCTTTTGGGCCCTGGAAATATATTAAAACTATGATTTTATGAAATCATTTGCTTTAAAAGATTTACCATGCTTTTTTCTTTAATTTGAATTTATAGTAATAAAAATACTGACACAATACTAAATTAATTAATAATAAATCACAAATTTAAAAGACTAAAAAATAAAGACACACAAAATAAGTTACTTATACAATAATTTTAAAGCTTAGAGAAGAAATTGAATGCATGACTGTAATGGAAGGCTCCAAAAATACAATTGAGTGGCTTTTAAGACTAGATGCCATCTATAGGGAATACCATAGGGAATATTGTATAAAAATAATGAAAATGAACAACAAACATATGATAGGTATATATACATAACTTATCTATAACTATGCATGTCATTTAACTAGATTAAACTGATAACTAAAATATTATTAGTGTCAATTTTATCATAACTGTTTTTATTTACCTGGCAGCCATTTCTTTCGTTGGAAATCGAATTGTTGTAGAGCAGTTATTAATTACTCCTACTCGACCTCCACAGTTTTCTGACAATCTTTTCAAACGATTTCTAATTTTTGCGGGGTCAATTCCTACTGGTAAATTGGAAACAATAACTTCAACAGGAGTATTTCCAGATTGCTAACAAAAATTATGAATAAATTTATTTAAACGAAACTATTTGAGATATAAAGAGATTAATAAATTGAACATAATAAAAATAGATGTTACATTTTTTTTTTTGGCATAATTTATTTCATAAATAAATCAAATAAAAAAATCATGAAACAATATGATATTTATGTTGTAACTTTAGACTAACCTATTTAGCTCCCCAAAAAAATGAAAAATGATGTTTATTGTCATATACATGTATAGTGTTTTTAAGGTAGAGTAGAAATACAATTAGTATTCTCAAAAATGCTATTCTAATAGGCGTCTATGGGTTTATTAAATTATAAGTAAAAGATTTGTTGTTAGTTTAATATATTGTTAGTAAAATTAAATGTCCTTATAAAATCAAACCTAAATGTTTTTAATCTACAAAAACAATACTGTTAATTTTGGCATTTTTAACATAGTTTAATAAAAATACAATTTTTTTCTTTTAATTAAAAAAAATTTAATTTAACAAAATTTTATAATACACAACGATTAAGAAAATGAACCAAACAAAATGTCAAAAGAAGGGGCAACTACCCCTTTTGCCTTTCTCCGGACGCGGATGATAATGTCTATTATTTTCCTTACATCAGCATTCATATATTAGGATATAAACCTAATGTATGTATTGTAATTAAGTGGTTTGGACATTAGAAATATTATATATTCTATATAAATTTATAACAAGATTATAAAATAAAATAAGTTTAAGAAAATCAATTTATATAAATTAAGATTTATCAATCAGAGTTCTTTTAATTTTAATACAAAAAATAATCATAACAATATAATAATCAATTAATTTATGTCGATAAAAAATAGGTGTCCTAGAATTACTCAACTAATTAGTATACAAATTCTGTGTTTTTTTAAGTAATACTAAGAAAAATATTTGCCTGTAAAATTAAAACATTTGCTTTTACTATAGATACTGTGTTTGTATAATAAAGTGCTTCATAGTAGACAACTAATGCATAAGTGGTATAATCAAATTACACAAGTTGTTCAAATTTTAATTTTATATTGAATACTATTGCTTATTTACATGTTTTTAATACTTATTTTTAAAAACTAGATGTTTTTGTAAAATATGATAATTTAAAATAAAATTTTCAAATAATTATTATATTTTAATAATAATTACCTATTTTTCTGTTATATTTTTTGTAAAACTTATTAAATGAACATTCTATAACACCCTTATTTGAAAGATTTAAAAAAAAAATTTATCATGTCTTTTATTATGTATTAAAAGAAAAATACTTTTTACGTCTCAAATAAAATGTATTATTAGGAATCTGATTGTTTTAAAATTGCTATTCATTTGCTATTTAATACACAGAGTAGGTATGAAATGTGGGCGTAGAACACATACACTGGTATGAACCACCTTCACTACATACCCACTCTACTTAATAAAATATTTGTAATTCAATAAATACTTGTCTTAAAATTGTTATCGATCCATCAAATTTTTTTACAAAAAAAAATGGCTAATATGTAATTTTGTAAAAGATGAAAAATATGCTTTAAACATAATCTAAGAAGGCAATATTTATTATTAAATAATTTCAATAAAATAATAATTTTATCAAAAACTATAAATGTTGTCAGTTAAGTCTGAGACACTCAAACTATACTGTCCTACAAAGCAAATCGTTAAAAAAACTAAAATATTAATTTTGAAATAAATATATGATAGCAATTATCATTTTCTTTTTACTTTAATTACTTGTATTAGTCTATTTGATTTAATAATTAACACAACATCTTTATAGCTTTTTTGGCGAGGAATACAATATAATAATAATAATAATAAGTATGAACTGCAGGAAATAAACATTCAAAATAATAATGATGATACAATATAAAAACTATTAATATACAATGCTGTTACTTCGTTTTAATTACAGAATTTTTACTTAGTTTATGTAAGATAAGGTGTTCATACTTAGAACTAGTAATTTATATTGTTACTTATTACATTTCTAAAAAATCATAATTGTTTTTATAGCTTTTTCAGTACTATTTTAAATATAATTTTTCTATTAAAAATGTGCATAATTATACTAATATGAATATACCATTCATCAGATACACTATTGCTTAGCACTAGATTACTAAACAAGTCACTTAAAACTTGCATGTTATTAACAATTAGATAAATTAATAAATTACTTACTCGAAGTGCATTTCTTAATGGTAGCATTTCTACAAGATGAGTATAATTATAATGCTCATTAGCACATAAAATAAGACTTTCGGAACACAGCTCATTATGTAACAATATTACATGCATCTTTTTTCTAAAACATTTCTTACTTATGAATAATATAAATTAACACTATATTACTATTTACCTATGCCTAATATCACAAAGATCAGATGCAAAATTTACATCCCCAGATACTAAAACTACAGCTGCTGGTGAACCATGTAAATCAGCAAATCTTCTCATCGAAAGGCGAAGTTTCTCGTCAGCTGCATTTTTACACACTGAAGTAACATGGACTAAATTAACCTTTAATACAAAATAAATTATAACATTAAGTTATGTACCATAATTTTTATTTCAAAATTTTACTTGAGCATCATTTAGTTCTTGTACAACTTGTGCATTTTCTTTTTTTACATCACAAACAACAAGAAACTCTGCTTCTCGATATCCAATAAAAAATCTATCTCGTATAGCTTGAGCTACAGCGACTGCTGATCTACCTTTAGGAACCTAAAATTATTTAAAATATATAATTTTTTATGAAAAATTAATATTATTATTAAGTATAGTGTTTATGTACCTAAAAATTTTAACATATAAGAATATTTCATAAAAAAAATAACAAAAAACTATTTTCTTAATTTTCTTTTAAATAGTTATTTAATAATATGAATAGGATTTTGGCTAAGTTATCCTATTTTCAAAGCACTAATAATTTTATATAATTGCATAGCTACATTTTTTTAAGTATATATTTTTTATGTAAGAAAATAGTGATTATATTTGAGCTTTTAATATAATTTTACTATTATTATCAGTAACCAGTTCTTAATAATACAAAAAACAAAACAATAACACTTTTGAAAATTCATTAAGTTTTCTTAAGGTAACATTTTTATCTTGCGGGTATAATCAATAGAGTTATTAAAAGAAGTTTAACTGAATTCTTTATTAATGACAAAATAATTTATTTTTTAATGAAGTAAACTCTAGAAAAATAAGATTAATTGAATACATTTCAAATCAGTGTAGAAAATTTAAAGTTATACTATTTCATGAATAAAAGAAAATAAGTACTAACTTATGTTATACTTATATTTTATGAAAATAAAAAATTTAATTCTTACTTGACAATTTTCTATGTCCCAAAAGACACCAATAGGTGGTAAATAATGAGCAAATGAATGTTTGTAAGGAAGAGAATCAGACGAATAACCATGAGAACAAGAGTTTCGAAGTCTTGTAGGTTTCTTATTTTTTTTGTACGATATAAGCTGGCTATTGTTTGGCTGTCTTTCTTGATCAAAAATATCAGAATTTGAATCTAATGAATTTGAATCTGATTCAGAATCAGAATCACTGTGTGAATAAGAAGAGGAAGCAGTTGTATTTTGAGGTAAAGAATCTTTTTGTGAAACATAATATCCATTGGTTATATGTGGAGAAGGTGGAAACTTAAAATTAGTATCTAACTGACGGTCACTTGAATATGAATCAATGTCTCCAAAACATCCAATTTTTTCTTGACGATTAAAAGATACTGAAGCATAAAAATCAAAATTACACAACAAGTTAATAAATTGCAAGACAACTAAATATGAACTTACATTTTCGTGTACAAACTATAACGTGATCCATAATAAGAACAATACCATAACAGATAAAATCTATGGAATATACCTCAAATAATAGTTGAGGTATTAAAGGTGCAACTAAGGTCAATTTTTTTTTTCAAAATATTTGTGATCTAAATATAAATTTTGGTATCATTTGTGTACCAATTGATTAGACCTACAAAAAAAAAATGTATAATATTTATTAACGTATTAAAAAGTTTTATCTATAAATCTACAGAGGTAAAATCTAAAGTATCTAATTATTTTTTCTAAATATGAATTTTAAATAAATAGCTTACTATTATTTCATTTATAACTACTAAATAAAATTAATATATATGCATAAAATTTGCATCTAAAATAATATTGTAGTAATACTAAAGATTAATTTGTTTTTACAACATAATTTATAAAAAAATTAACAAAATTATAATAAATGTATTTTTTTTATTAGGTATGACCCTAAAATGTTTAATATACTTCTATTAATAAATTCTTAGCATAATAATAATAAAAAAAGTTAATTACTTTAAATATACTAATGCATCTATAATTTTTCTTTGAAATATATCACTGAGTACAATTTATAAAACTATATTAATGTAATTTCAAAGATTTATCAGGAATTAATTTCAAAATAGGCAGCTTATTATGACTATTTCTCTATAATTAGTGAAATTTTCTTTAAAATTAGAGAGTAATATAACCCTAGACAGCAACAGTATTGAATTAAAAATGTAATAATTGATAAATTACACATAGACGACATCTTGATCTCAAATAATATAAAAACTTGGAAATAAATATAATTTATGGTAATATAAAAGTGATATTATTTTATTACATTTGAGTAAAAACTGAAAACAATTTGGTTCTTAATTTTAAATAATCTATTAAATACATTACCTTAATGATTGAGAAAAAATCGATATTCTTTAATGTATATTGAGTACACTGTACAAAGCATTTGAATCGGAATTTTTCTTTTTAAAAATAAATTTGTTAACCCTATGAAAACAAAAACACGAATAGGATACTTGTGGTGAATAAATGTAATGTGCAGTATACTTGTCTATGATGTGCAGAATAAATGTAAGTTTAAGAACCAATAAAATATCAGGTGGTCTTTTATTATCAAAGTAAATTTGTGATAACATGAAAAAACGAAATGTATTTTACGACTGAATAGATAAACTCATTTTACAGTGTGTTAAAACAATCAAAAAATCAGGATAGTATTACAGAAAATCATTTTTAAATTCAACAAATATAGTAAGACCTTACTTTATGTTTTAACTTTTTATAATTACTTAATAAAACGAAATAGTTATTATCTAATCAATTTAAAAAGTAGTAACTAAAATTTGAGATAATAATTAAGAAATATAAGCATATAATATTAAATAGTACTTTTGTCATTTTTTATTAAAACTAAAACAAGAGAATTTCTTGTTATTTATTCTATTGACCTTTTGTTGGTCTCATTTTTCAAGTATTTCAATTATGGCAGCATTTGAAGAAATGGGTGTTTTACCAGAAATTGGAAAAGCTGTTGAAGAAATTGATTGGTTATTACCAACAGACGTTCAAGCAGAAGCTATACCTCTGATTTTAGGTGGTGGTGATGTTTTAATGGCTGCAGAAACAGGAAGTGGAAAGACTGGAGCATTTTGTATACCAATCATTCAAATTGTTTGGGAAACTATAAAACAGTATACATCAGGCCAAAACATTACTTCTGTAAAAACCATCAATATATTAGATACTTGGAAATTGAATTTATGGGATCGTTCAAATTCTACAGCAATAACGCCTGATGGTTTAAGATGCCAATCTAGAGAACAAAAAGAATGGCATGGTTGTCGAGCTACGAATGGAGTAAAAAATTCTGGTAAATTTTATTTTGAAGCTACTGTTACTGATGAAGGTTTATGCCGAGTTGGTTGGTCTACTTTTCAAGCTTCACTCGATTTAGGCACGGACAAATTTGGATTTGGATTTGGAGGAACTGGAAGAAAATCTAACAACAAACAGTTTGATTTGTATGGTGAAACTTTTGGACTGCACGATACTATTGGCTGCTGGTTAGATTTGGATGTGATGATAATTGGTTTTAGTAAGAATGGCACTTATCTTGGTGATGCATTTCAAATTCCACCCAGCCTGAAAAATTCTTCCTTTTATCCAGCAGTTGTTTTAAAAAATGCTGAAATGTCATTTAACTTTGGAGACTCTAATTTTAAATATGATTTTCCTAAAGATTTTACTGCTGTTAGTAAAGCTTCTAAAAATAATACCGAAATTTCTCAGAATAAATTATCAAAACAAAATAGTAGTCAAATAAAAAGACCAAACAACGCTCCTTTTGCTATAATTATTGAACCTTCTAGAGAGCTTGCAGAACAAACATGTAATCAAATTAAAAAAATTAAAAAATTTATAATAAACCCTAATGTTAAAGATCTATTAGTAGTTGGTGGTATTAGTGTTAAAGAACAAATATCATCATTGTCATCAGGAGTAGATATCGTTGTTGGTACACCTGGTCGATTAGAAGATTTAATATCTGGAGGTCATTTATCATTAGCATATTGTAGATTTTTTATATTGGATGAAGCTGATGGTCTTTTAAAACAACGATATACACCATTAATAGAAAATATGCATAGGCAAATGCCTAAAATTACTCATGATGGTAAAAGACTTCAGATGATAGTTTGTTCTGCTACTTTGCATGACTTTGAAGTTAAAAAATTAGCTTCAAAACTTATGCATTTTCCTACATGGGTTGACCTTAAAGGTGAAGATACAGTTCCAGAAACAGTACATCATGTAGTAGTAACAATTGATCCTCAAAAAGATATTTCATGGACTAATTGTAGTAATCATATACCAACCGATGGTGTACATAACAGAGATAATATAAAAGCAATAAACACGTCAGAGGCTTTATCACATGGAGTGAAAATTCTTAAAGGAACATATTGTATTAAAGCCATTAATAAATACAAAATGGATAAGGCTATAATATTTTGTCGCACTAAACTTGATTGTGATAATTTAGAAAAGTATTTTAATCAATTAGGTTCGTGTTATTCATGTTGTACTCTTCATGGATCAAAAAATGTAAATGACCGTAAAGCTAACTTAGATAGATTTAAAAGTGGTGATATAAAATTTTTAATTTGTACTGATGTTGCTGCTCGTGGTATTGATGTTAATCATCTACCATTTATGATTAACATGACATTGCCTGATGAAAAAACTAATTATGTTCATAGAATTGGTCGTGTTGGAAGAGCAGAACGTATGGGACTAGCTATATCATTTGTATCATCAGTACCAGAAAAAGTATGGTATCATGGAGAATGGTGTCCTTCGAGAGGGCAGCGATGTTCAAATACAAATCTCACAAGTAACAAAGGTTGTTGTATTTGGTATTCAGAACACCAGTATTTAGCTGATATAGAAGATCATTTGAATATTACAATTCAACAAGTTGGGCCAGATATAGATATTCCTATAAATGAGTTTGATGGAAAAGTTGTTTATGGCCAAAAAAAATCTAATAATGAAACTTTATATAAAAACCATTATGATCAATTATTGTCTACCATTTGTCATTTGACACAGCTAGAAAACAAAGCACAACTTATGTATTTGCAACATTTTTTAAATACATAAAACTATGATATTATAAAAATGTTTAATATAAAAATAATAAGTAATTTTTAATTTGTTTACTAATCTATTTATTAATATGTGTTATCTTGACAATTTATTCAACATTTTTCCAAAAAGTTAAAGACATTTTTCTATATAAAATTACATTCACAAATACATAACATAATTTTACTAAAAAATTATATTACTGTAAAGTAATTATAAACTCTCATTTTTCATTCCACTACCAACAGGGCCATGGCGTCTTTCCCATATCATTCTGTTTAACTGTTTAGCATAACATCTTTCAGCAGTAACAGCTGCACCTAAATCACCATCTACAAAATCACAAATAAATTAATAACAGCAAATGTCTATTAATCTATTCATTCATTTAACATTTTTTTACATTTAATAGAATAGTTTTCTTCTGCTTTTTCATACATATCAAATAATGGTTGACACTTCCTCATTCCATCGGGACCTTCATATATACGACAATCTTCATAGCGTTGTCTTAAAATAGATAAAATATTGCTATCTACTAACCTGCAAAACATTTCAAAATTATAAAGGTTAACTAAAACGTTTAGGAGAATAAATGTATTTGTAAAAATTATAAATTCTTAGATGAATTTACGATATGATTTTTTTATTATGTTTCGTGCAATATTATAACATTTCAAAAATTTTTAATACAAACTATTAATACTATTTTTAAGGACAAGGAAAATGATAAAAAAAAATACTTTATAATAACCAATTAAAAAGGTTTAATTTAACGTTTGTCACAAAATTAAAATTGTAAAATTCTCACTCTTTCATGATTCTGTTAATGTTTTGTTAATTTAAAAAAAAATTAAAACCTCGTTTAAGGAGCAAGTGATTTTTTTGATCTCTTCTCTATTATTTTAAATTTTATTTGTTTAGGCACAATTAAGCGGGTTTAGTTGCTATAAATTTTGAAAATTAATTCAGTTAACAGTTTATATATTTTTATATCATTAAAAATTCAATGACATTTCCATAATTTTCTTGATTCTTTTAAAATCCACCAACTTTTTCAAATCTCTAAACTTATGGCAACCATGAATTTTAAGTAATTAACTAGTCAATTTAAGGAAATTGAATGAAAATATTAAATTACTCATACAGTGTTCAGAATGTCAGAAAACAGGTTAATTATTAAAAACAAAAAAAACCCATTTCTTTGGTTACTGAACACCCTATATATGAAGGAGTGTTTTCATTAAAGTAAGTCCTTAAATTTAACTGATTCAGATTAAGCAAACAATATACTTAAAGCCAGTTTGTCACTGAAATCCGACTCTATAACAATTAATAATAGAGCTTCATTCCTTTAATTTAAACTTTTAATATCATAACAATTAAACAACAGTCTAAACTCATTAGTAAATAAAGATTAGTAGTACAGTTGTTAGATTTTATTTAGTTATTGTTGAATTATTTTGTTCTTACTTATCCCTGATTAATTGCTGATTAGCTTCCCATTTACATAATCTATCATCATCATAACACTGATCAACGGTTGGCACTCTTCTAAACTGTTCGTGGTAATAATTATATTGTTTTTGATTTGGTACAACAATATTTTCTAAAAACCAAAATCACAATGTCGAAATTTAAGTAAATTTAAAACGCTTGGTGGTATAGATGACGATAGATTAACTTTGCCTCATGCAATATATTCTAAAATAAAAAATTTCTAATTTTATTATTTTTCAAAAATTTCCAGATTTTATTATGCTATGAATTAAAATAAGATTCTTATTCTATCCCCTCTTCTTACATTTCAAATCTATATAAACTTACTTAGTTTTTTTTAATGACAATATACTAATTTAATTAATTTTGAATAATGGAATATGATTAAATTAAGAAAATGACTGATTAATTTTCAACATTAAAACTATTATAAGATGTTACTAATTTTATATCTAGGTGGGAGGAGTATTGTGGCCTAATTATAAAAATAATTTAGACCTATACCTCACTTACAGTCTTCATTTAGAGATGTTAATATCTCTAAAAGTACCAGTTTAAAAATTGTTGAGAAAACTTTTTTTAAATTAAATGATTTTCTAAGAAGCGTGTTAGATTAATGTATAAATTGCCATTTAATTAAGTGGATATCTATTGAAAGGGTAAGAAAAAAAAAAAATTAATTAGTAGTGTAAAGTAGAATAAAATTTAAAATTTAAAAAATAAAAACTATTTTACTATGTATTTTTGAAGATATTACATGAGGCATAGTTAATCACCTCATATTCATAGGTTAACTAAATTAGCCTTTTTCTTTTTAATGGAAAAACAACTTACTACTTTAATGGGGTATCAAATTTATGTCTTTAAATGGAAACATACATATTTAACAATTTTATAAAATAGAAAATTATCTAATTAAGACAATGACTAGTCAAAAAACAATGTTAGGACCCATATTCTAAAAGATATTAACAACTTAAAGAAATGACTGATGTTGAGAAGCGGTTGATGCTAGTTATATCACTAGATATTTCACTCCTTCTCCCTCCTAGGTATTAACAACTTCTAAAATACTGGTTCAAAAGTTGTTATTGACCAGTCCATTTTCTTAATAAGATCATTTTCTATTTTATAAGCTAGTTAATAATGCATGATTCCATTAAAAAATATAAAGTTGATACCTCTATAAGTCATTAAGGATGGACATAAAAAATATTTTATAATAAATAAATAATAATACATATGTAACAAAAGCAAAAAAAAAATAATTCACAAAATATTTTATCTTGAAAAAATACCATCAATAATATTTTATATTATAATTTATATTAATTTTATATTATAATAAAAAATTATAAATTGTAATTGTCTATATAAAAAGTGTAATACCCCTAAACCAAATGACTGGACCGACTAGTATGCCTTTGACAGTTTCAAATACATTTTCAATAGGATTTCGGCCAGTATATATCTTCTTTTCATATCCAAATATAGTATTTGGTGACTTCGCGTCAGACGACATTATCGAATTTAATAAAAATTACAATAAAAATAAAACGATTAAATTCACATTTAATGTAAAAAATAGGACTTTTCATATCATATGAGCAAATAGCCTTATCATACTTTAGAAATAATTAAAAATTTTATCAGGTAACAAAATAACCTTAAAATCGCAGTTCAAATACCAAAAAGGAATGGCAAAATCGATGGAATGTCGATGACGAACAATACAGATATTTTAGCTAAAGGTTATCGATAACGATATATGGAGCTCAGATTGATATAATTTAATTGATATACTGGTCAATTATATCGATATGTACAATACAAATTGGACATTTTTGTAGATTATTTTAATTGTATATTTCTAAACACTATCGTTACATAAATGTTTAAACAAATTCAAATACATTTTTTTTATTAAACACTGCTAATTTTAAATTATAGTAATAAATAATTTAAAATGAAATAAAAGAATTCTAATGAGGCTAAAAGGTGAGTTCTATAATACTTAAATGAGACCAGCTAGATATATGTTTTAGAGATTGACAAGAAAATAGAGCGAATACATTTGGAGAAAGCATATGATATCGAGTACCTAGAGAGAATGTTATGGGCGATCTTGTCAATGTGTATGAAGTTCACAGTAGTTCTTGTCAAGTGGTAATTTAGGATAAAAATGGACGACCCCAAGTAATTGCCATAAAGGCGAGGAAAAAATAAAAAAAGGATAATAATAATTTTACCTAACTAAAATCGTAGTTCCAATTTGAAACTTTTATATGATGATTAGTTTTTTTTCACTTAATTTTCATTTGAAAATTACTACATTGAAACTTTTTTACACTTAAAAACAGGCCCCTTACTTTTAAACATTAAATTAACAATAGAAATCTATAGAAAAAGTATTATTAATTCATTATTTGTATAAAATTTTTTTATTTTAATTTTAGTTTCAATTATAATAATAAGTTTACAATTTATTATTTTATTATAAATTTTCTAAACGATTTAATTATTCGTACCTCAATAATCATAATTATTTGTAAATTTGTAATTTGCGATTCATCAAAATGTTAACATTAATATCCTATAAATATCGAAAGCATTTAATCGATATATTATTGACAACTCTACACGATATACAACAATCACACTCCTATTCTTTGCAACAATTGAGACCCAGATAAAAACTTTATATTAATAAATGTACATAATTTTAGTTTAGATTTAGAATATTTTTTGCATTTTGCACGTTTAACGATCTTTAAATATTTCCGGGTTTTCAAAATTCATGCCAATTTTTTAGTATGAAATTACAGCAAAACACGTATTATATGTAACTTATTGAACTAGAAATTTTTTTATAAATAATTAAGTCAATATTATTTTAATATATTATTTATAATAAACTTTAAAATATTAATTAAATTTTAGACAACTAATTGTTGGAATAAAGTAAAAATAGGACAAATTACTATTGGGTCTAGTAGTTTTTAGGTTAAAATATTCCTCTTCTATAGCATGTGTGTGAAGTTAACAATTCCTAATGAGATACAAAAAGAATTTAAACCGCTAGAGGGCGCAACTTAAATAAAAAAATATTTTTTATTATATAGAACTTTTGACAGTTATGTAGTGTTCAATTCAAAATTATAATACCAATGAAAAGCTTATAAAATTACCTATCGAATGGCATAAGTCTCAAAGAGTATTCGAGTGTCCAAGTAACCCTTTTTTTTTTTTTTTTTTTTTTTTNTTTTTTTTTTACACCGACCGGCGCAACTGTGGACCGCCCTGGAACTACCGTGAGGTATTACTTCAGGGCGGCCCACGCCGTCTCTAAAACTCACACCACCACGTTGTGAATCAGCCCGAAATTAATCAAGAGCTGATTCACAACGTGGTGTGGCCTCCCCCGTTAGCCGGATCCCAAAAGTCGGGATCCGTTGCCCGGGTTGCACCACGTGGAGGTGGGGGCAGGACTTTGCGAAGGGGGCGTAATATAACTCACAAACACATAAAGAACATAAACACGAATACCTAAGGCGCCGGCCTAAACCAGCGCCTTAAGTCCTCCTGTACCGGGCGGCGCGGCTGCCTCTGTCTCAGGCGTTCAGCTTCCTCCTTCTTTTTCAAGACGGATTCGGCGAACACCTGGACGAGCATCCACGTCTCCCGGCTTCCCAACATCAGGTCCACCATGGACCCGACTCGAAACGTGGACCCTAGTCGAGACTCCAAAGAGTCCCGTTCCTGGGCCCACGCCTCGCACCGGAAGAGGGTGTGCAAAGCGCTATTAGCCTCTCCCGGGCGATCCGAACAGTGGTCGCACGTCGGCGCGGCTGCTTTACGAATACGATGTAAGTACTCGTTAAAGCAGCCGTGGCCGGACATCACTTGGGTGAGACGATAAGTCATCTCACCGTGAGTCCGGTCCACCCACCTGTCCAACCGATCGGGTCCTATGAGGGACCTGGTCCACTCGCCTCTCGTCATTTCCTCCGAGAGGCGAGTCCGCCACCGGAGCATGGTCATCCGCCTGAGCGCTAGCCGGTCCTCGGGTTCGAGGGACCGGTTTCGCTCTCGGCGGAGCTCATGCCCGGCGGCGCGTTCCTCAGCGAGCAGGTCGGCGGGCGGCAGTGACGACAGGATACCCGCCGCCACTCCGGACACCGTTCGGTACGCCGAAACAGTCCGGATCGCCGCCCGCCTCTGCACCCTGAGCAGGGCTTCACGGTTTTTGGACGAATACTCAAGAGTATCCGCCCAAACCGGGGACCCGTACACGAGAACCGAATGTACGACGCTGACTAAAAGTCTACGCCGCATCTCTCTCGGCCCTCCCAGATTGGGCATGAGTCCCGCCAAGCAATTCATGACTTTCTGGGCCCGCTGGGCCGCACGAGTAATGTGCGGCCCGAACTTTAGACGTTTGTCTATGACAAGGCCCAGATAAGTCATGGAGTCCTTAAGCGGGATCTCCACCCCCAGCACGGCGAACCGTGGAGGAGTGAACTTGTACCTGCCCGTGAACAAGACCGCTTCGGTCTTGTCCAGGGCGAGGCTAAGTCCACTCCCCTCCTGCTGGATCCAGGCGGCGACTGCGCTGAGCGCNATCCCCTCCTGCTGGATCCAGACGGTGACTGCGCTGAGCACGCAGTTTGCCCGGGATCCAGCCTCCTCGGCCGAGGCGCCTTCCGCCACCACCAGCGTGTCGTCCACGTAGCAGACGACGCGCACGCCCGGCGGTAGCGGAACGCGGAACACCGCGTCGTACGCGATGTTCCACAGCAGAGGCCCGAGAACCGACCCTTGCGGGACGCCTCCCGTAACAGGTAGGATTCTCGGGCCAGAGATGACCCGATCGCTAAAGTACGACCGGATCATCCGCCGAGGTAAGGAGGCACCCGAAACGCGTCCAGCGCTCCGAGGATGTGTGACCATCGCACGGAGTTGAACGCGTTTCGGATGTCCAAGCTCACCGCCACCCCGAAACCCTGCTCAGTTTTGGCCTTGAGGGCCAAGTCCCTGAAGAGGGAGGCCGCGTCATCCGTCGACCTCCCCCTCCGGAAGCCGAACTGGCCCTCGGCCAGTCCGCCGACGTCGGCCAGGTGGGCTTCGATCCGGGTGACGAGCAGCCGCTCGAGGATCTTCCCCAAGTCGTCCAACATGCAAAGCGGTCGGTACGACGAGGGGAGACCCTCGGGCTTGTCACCCTTTCTCAGAAGCACCAGCCTGGCCTTCTTCCACTTCGTGGGGAATTCACCCTCCGAGAGGCAGCGGTTCGCGACGGCGCGTATCCAGTCCGGGGCGAGGTCGTTTACCAACCCCCACACCCGGTTTGGAATCGCGTCAGGGCCGGGAGCTGTGTTCCGGCCCCGTACGCGCGCCACCGCGTCGGCCACCTCCTGGGTGGTGAATTCCTCCACCGACACGTCGTCCCCGAACGCAGGGGGAGGCAGAGGCGGGTGTGTCGGAAAGAGCGTGTCTACCGCCCTTTCCAGCACTTCCGCCTCCAGCTGACCGGAAGCCGGTGAACCGCGGAGCTTCCGCATAACGACCCGGTAGGGTTTCCCCCACGGGTCGTGGTCCACCGACTTCACGAGTTCGGCCCAGCACTTCGCTTTGGCCCGCCTGATGGCGAGCTTCAGCTCTTTGCGGGCCGACCTCAGCGCCTCCCTCGGGTCCGGGGATTCCGGGTCCCGCGGCCAACGGTTGGAGCGCGTCATAGTCCTCCTGACCCTGACGCACTCCTCACGCCTGACCGCCACCTCGGCGTTCCACCAGTGGACTGGCGGTCCGCGAGTCGACGGCGGTCGTTTGGCCGGGAGGGCGAAGTCGCAAGCTGCGACCACCCTCCGGTCCAACTCTTCCGCCGCTTCGCTCGCGGAGACGCGCCGGTCCGGTACCGCGGGCGCCGACCATTGAGCGAGCAGTAAGCCCGTCTCAAAAGCGTCGACGTCCGTGGCCGGTCCGACCCGCCAGCCCACTCGCCCATCGCGAGACGGCACGCGGGGCACGGCTCGAGGGGGACGGCCGCACTCGTTCACGAATGTACCGATGGTCGCTGAGGTTTTCCCTGTACGGGAGAACCGACCAGCCGGTCACGTGCGGGTGCAGCGACGGGGACACCAGCGTGACGTCCACCACCGAGCTCGAGGAGTGACCCTCGAACGTCGGGGTGGATCCCCTGTTGGCCGACATCGGCCCGAGGGCCGACATCAGGTCCAACAGTTCTTCGCCACGCTGGTTCGTGTCCGCCGACCCCCAGACCGGGGAGTGAGCGTTGAAATCCCCGGCCACAAGCTCCCCGCGTCCGTCGCGCGGCCTCCCGAGCCTCCTCGCCCGTAAGCAGGAGGACACGGACTCGAGGAGTCCGGCGATCGGCAAGCTGGGCGGCGCGTAGCAGCTCAAGACGTCTATGCCGTCTATCCTCGCCACTACGTAACCGTCGCCCGACTCGATGTCCGCGACCGTCAAGCCGCGGTCCATCACGCCGATCGCCGCTCTGCCGGACCGGTCTAAGAACCAGCCGGCAGAGTCCCGGACCGATCCGGCGTGCGGGTCCGAGACGATGCACACGTTGGTGCCCATCTCGTACGCCGCCCGCCGGACCAAGTCCTGAGCGGCCCGACAGTGGTTGAGATTCACTTGGAGGAATCTCATCCACTAGCGGGCTGCGCTCCGGGAGACCCCTCGGCCTTTCCCCCTTTCTNTGGCCCTTCCCCCTTTCCTCCTGCCAGGGGGAGCCTTCTTTCCAGGCCCCCCCTTTGTCTTCGCGGCCTTTGAGGCCGGCCCCGCACCCGGACAGTCCTTGGCCTGGTGCCCCTCCTTTTTACAGGAGAAGCACCCCTTGGACCTGTCCGGTCCCTTGCAGGTCTGAGCCACATGACCGTGTTCAAGGCACCTGTAGCACCTCGGACCCTTGTCGCCAAGGATCCTCAGCCTACAGGTGACCCATCCCACGCGGATACGGGCGAGACCTGCGAGGCGCGAAGCCAGCTTTGCCGGCACATCCACCCGGGCGTATCGCCCTTTGCCGCCGGAGTTCTCTCGGACCACGGCAAGCGGAAGCGCACCCGTTGCTACCTCACCGCCATGTAGGGGGGACGCTGCGTCCCCGATGGGCCTAGATGGTGGGCCATAAGTGTCCCACCAGTACTCTGTCTGGGACGCACAGTCCTGGACGCACTTGGGGCTCTCCGACATTAGTTCAGGCGATCTCCTCCCAGGCGAGCTGGTGAGGTGAAAATCAGCCAAGGCCCTTATGGTTTCAATAAGGGCCGTGGCCATCTTCACCACTCGCCTGTGAGGGCTATAGACCTCTAGCACGTCGGAGAGCTGTCCCGCCTGCTCCCTGGCGAGGTCTAGCCCAGCCGACAACACCTCGTCGGCCCGACCGATCACCCTCTTTGGTGTCCCGTCAGCGTTGAAGAGATCAACTGCAGTCAGGGGCACCAACTTAGGCTTTTTGGCCAAGACCGGCAGAGGAGTCGCCGGCATAGGCACAATCGCACCGGGCGGGGTATCCTCCAATGTGATAGTTGGTGGGCTGATCGTTGGGGAGATCTCCTTGCGTTTGGGACGCAAGAAATCGTCCTCCCCCAGCTCAGCCGCCACCACTTCACTGACTCCCACAATGGTTGAACCCGAAGTTCCTATCCTCGGCGAACCGGCCCTAGACGCGCTCCGCAATCTCTCCAATATGGAGGGTTTAGGAGACGCATCCAGGGAGATAGCCGTCGTCAAGTCCGTGTAATCCGTGCAATCCGTTGCCAATATCCTCCCGGCTATTTCACCGGTGGGAGTGGCTTGGTCACCACCACTCCCTGCAGTCGCAGTACCAACCCCGTGGTTGGCTGCAGGAGCCTGCCTCAACACTTCTGCATTTACTGTGTATTCGTTTGATAACGACACCTGGTGGGTACACCCCCCACCAACCGCCGGCACTGATGCAGTAACCTTTTTCTCCGTGTTTGCCATTATTCATATAAAATAATTTTCTGAGGGGGCTGCCCTCATAGCCAGTCCCTCCGGCCAGTGAGTAGCTAACTACACTGGTTGCGTTGCCATATATCTTCATTCTCACCCAAACGCTACCGCTTATTCGACCATAAAAGGCTTATTTCACGGCTACCCTGTATATCTATAGGGCTAACAAGCGTTTGGGCGGCTCGCTGTCCGCGACCGCTTATTCGTCAGTCCAAATTAATGGACTGCTTATTTCGCGGCTAACCTGCATATCTGCAGGCCGTTCCTCTATCCGCAACCTGAGGACGCGCCCTGATGATCATGAGCCTATTAGTTATTGTTATTATGTTTAGGTTAGAGACGATATACCAACATCATTACTCGAACAGTTTTCAATTCCAACGTATCCAGTGTTGTTCAGAGAGGACGGTCATGGAGAAAAGGGTGCGGTAGCTAAACATTTCGTTTAAGAAATTGTGGAAGTAGCTCGAAATATATCTCAAATATTACAAGTCAACTTGCCCATGACTTTTAAGCAAGCTGATGCGAAGAAACATAATGATATAGTAAAACGCGGTGTGTGTCCTTTATGCAATGTTAAGTTCTCTATAAATAATTACCCAGTTCGCGATTATGATCATTTAACATCCGAGTACAGAAAGAATTTGTAATAAATGCAACTTAAAGTTAAAGTCTCCTAAATTTGTCCCCTGTTTTTTTCACAACTTATCCAACTACGACGGTCATTTCAATGTAACACAGCTTGGATACGACGATAAACCCATAACTTTTATACCTAACAGTGAAGAAAAATTTATTTCTTTCTCAAAATATGTGGCGAAAGACTTCAAAATAAGATTTGTTGACAGCAACAGGTTTATGGCGTCAAGTTTATCAAAACTAGTCGAAAATCTAGCCAAAGGGGATGTAGGATACTTCAAAGATACTACAAAACATTTTCCAAATTCAGATATCAGTCTTATTACCCGTAAAGGTGTTTATCCTTACGAGTATACAGACTCATTCGAGAAACTTAACGAAACATCGCTATCATCTATAAATGAGTTTTATAGTTCTTTAAATGAGAGTAATATAACGGAAGAGGACTATCAACATGCTCAGAATGTTTGGAAACATTTTAAGTGTACAACGTTAGGACAATATAGCGACTGGTATTTGAAGTTGGGCGTGTTGTTGTTATGTGACGTGTTTGAGTCTTTTAGAGACCTTTGCCTAAAAACTTATGGACTGGACCCTAATTATTATTACACCGCACCCGGCATGTCTTTTGATTGTATGTTGAAACATACAAATATTGAGCTCGAGCTATTACACGATTATGACATGCTCTTGATGTTGGAGCAGGGAATTAGAGGAGGTTTGACAACGGCAGTACGCCGATATTCGGAAGCTAATCATATAGGACTTTCTAGCTATGATGTTAGTAAGCCGGATAACTGGATCATATATCTTGATGCTACAAATTTGTAAGTAAATTTTATTTAATATTTTTTTTTAATAATAATTATAGTTTTACATTAGTAATTTTTTGTGCAATACTTATTAGATACGGATGAGCCATGTCACAGTATCTGCCTAAAGATGGCTTTAAATGGAGTGAGATGAATTTAAATGTTTCAGAAGTTTTAATGCTCTTAGAAAAAACATCAAATAATTCGAAAAAAGGAATGATATTAGAAGTCGACGTTTCATACCCTGAACACTTACATGATAATCATAACGATTTACCGTATCTGCCTTTTAAAGAAGTCCCCGAAGGTTCTAAGTTTCCAAAGCTTTTGGCTACCTTAAAACATTAAAAATATTACATAGTACACTACAATTCGTTGAAACAGGCAGGACTGGTGTTGGAAAAAGTGCATAGAATGATAGAGTTTAATCAATCTCCATGGCTGGCAAGCTATATATCATTAAATACACGGATGCGTTCGGTAGCTAAAAATACGTTTGAAAAAGACTTTTATAAGCTTATGAACAACTCAGTATTTGGTTTGTATAAAACTGTACAATTTAATAATTATTATTATTTTATAATTAAATAAGTATTATGTTTTAGGCAAAACGATGGAGAATGTANAACTTTATAATTAAATAAGTATTATGTTTTAGGCAAAACGATGGAGAATGTACGTCTCAGAATGAAAATAGAGCTTACTAGTAGTGAGTCAAGATATAGAAAGCTTGTTAATTTACCCTCACATAAAGGTACAACTGTATATGGTGACAACTTGTCATTACATAATAATTCATTTACACAAAGAAGATTTAATTTTCGATAAGCCCATGTACATAGAATTTGCCGTGTTGGACATAACAAAAACTCTTATGTATGATTTTCACTATGGTACTATGAAAGCGTTATATGCAGAAAACATTGAACTTTTATACATGGGCACAGGTTCTCTTCGTCTTTTATTGTAAAAATTTTTTTTTTTTTTTTATGTGTAATTAATTCATGTGTTTTAGATTCATTGATATATTTAGTCAAAACCAAGAATTTTTATGATGATATGCAAAAACATCAAAGTTTTATAGAAAAACTAGATACCTCAAACTATCCAGTTAACCATCCGTGTTATCGTACTGAACGGTGTAAGATCCCTGGTACTTTCACTGACGAGACTGGGGGGGAGTTTATTTCAGCACACGTAGCTCTAAGATCCAAGGCTTACGGCTTCATTCAAAATGCTAAAGAGTGCATCAAGGCAAAAGGAGTGGCGTATCATGCCGTCAAAAATCACATTAGATTTGAGAATTAT